CCACGCCCCCCCCCCCCCCCTTGAGTAGAAATAAAAGATGAGGACTTTTTGGGGGGATGGCATCTGACAACATTCTCCCCTCTTGAGTATGAAAATTTGGAAAAAATAGGGAAGAATAGAGATAATTAGGGCAAAATCAGGAAAATCAGGATAAAATCGGGAAAATCAGGATAAAATCGGGAAGAAAAAAAAACTAGAAAAAAATTGGGTAAAAAAATAATTTAATCGGGAAGAAGGAAAAAAAAACAAGAAAAAAAAATTGGGAAACCGATTTAAATCAGATAATTATCAGGCCCGACAGTCTCTCCACAGTTGATCCTAACCTTGATTATGATCTCAACAGAAATCTTCTCACAATGGGTTGTACCAATTGACTACTGAATTTCATAACTTAACCACTCACATTTCAACATCTACTAACAAGAAAAAGATGCTCCCCAGGGGCGATTCTACATCGGCCCCTGTATAGCATCCAAGGAATGTTGTGGGACATTCATTTCAAATTCTAAAGTGACGGTACATATTTACAGCTCTGATCTACATTCCACTCTACATTTTGGAAAATGAAAAGGGGCCTTCAGGTGTACTCTACATCTGCATGCAACTTTCATACGGTGCAAAAAAGGCAAGTCAGTTTGTAGTTGAGCAATTCCACATGAGGAGTAACAAAATTACAAAATGTTTAAATACACTTTTCTCTCTTTTGCATGACATGGCTTCTGCTTTGTTTCTACTGGTTGATAAAACCATTTGGGTCTAATTTGGGTCATTTTCTACACATATTATACATCCACATAAAAAAAATCTTGCTCAATGTCTTCATAAAAGAATGCTGTTGCATAATTACAAAAATAATGTTGAATATTTTGTTTCAGCTTAAACAAATCTGACTTTCCTATACATGTATATATGGAAAAAAGTTATTAAAATGAGTTCTTTTCTTTGTAATGAAGACATTTGGTATACCACAAAATATATAGATTCACCTCAACTTCAAAAGGTACCGTACATGTAATTGCAAATACATCTCATGTGGAATTTCCCGGTCGATAATCTCAGCTTCACTGAAGCATATCTAAACTACTAGTGTGAAGGTACGATGCTAGCATGCAACATTGGGCTAAATCTACAGGGCGCATTCATACAAGGACGCATAACCTCGAAAGAAGAGATCATTATAGACGATCTGGGGTCAAACTCTGTCTCAGAGTTTTCTAAATACTAGCCAGGGTTTTTTAACCGAATGATCCAGGAATTGCTAATCAAGAAGAAAAATCAGACTTCTTTCTGTATTTCCATCAACATTCATGTGTACATGAATGTGTGAATGCACCATACATTTGCAAATATACATACATGAAGACAAAAATTTCTACTTGAAAGTGGAGAGGGGATAGAAATATTGAAATTCTGAAATTGAAAACAATAAATGAAATTGAAATATCTAGCAGCGAGGATTTTAGGAGAGGAAAGTTGGGCATTTCGCATTTTCTTTGGGATTAAAAAAACATCAATTCATCAGTATTCTCACTCTTGTGTTTCCTATTTCTACCTGCAATAACTATATGTGGCCTAAAAACATATTACTGAAAATGCATATTATAAAAGTGCTGGAAGTGTTTTTTGTTTCATGGGTGAAACACACATCATGAAGCTTGTCATATTTCATAGCAAGTGCTGTTGTTTAATTTTGTAAGCAGAAATTCTTCACACAAACAAAAAATTACATCATGCATTAATGTCATGCTTTTTTATGTTGCACTAATCAAACATCACCTACATAAAATGGCACAAGAACACTGCTTAAACAGTGTGTTTTTATTGGTAAAAGACTAGTTTACAGTGACAAGACAAATGGGTACCTTACAATTATCCAGCACTTTTATTCTTTTGAATTATAAAATCAGTTACTTTTTTGTCTATTTTTGTCTTGCAAAATACATCAAATCCACATTTAGCATGCAGGTAGAGAGAAAACAACAAAAATGACACAAATGAATTGAGAATCTTTGAATACCAAAGAGAATCCAAAACAAGTGAATTTCTGTTGAACAACTTATGATTTATTGCTCTCTATAAACAAAGAAACAATCCAAGATGATAAAATTGAAAATGAGCACAAATAAATGAAAATGTTTACATTTATGAATTTGTGCAACAATTTATGAAGATCAGAAATATTACATAAAATACAGCAGATTACAGTATTTTACATTTTTGTGAAAATATGACCGATTCTGTTTCAAAATGACAAATAAATACTATGAGAACAAATTCTCCTACATTTCAAGCATTACCAAAACCCCATAACACATTTCGTCACAAATCCATGTATCATGAAAGTTTAGAATTTCTTCACATTTACTAACAGTTCTCTTTAAAATACTTTTAAAGAAAGAAATGGTTTCTAAAATGTTTCTGTTTCTACTGTAAAGTGCAAAGAAATTATCAATATACAATGGATCTACAAATGAGAAGATTTTTTGTAAATATATACAAAAGGTAGTGCAAATGAGAAACTACATGTGCTAAAGATACTAAACGTAGAATGAGAATCAATTTACTTTCCTACTTTCTTTTTTTTTTCGCTTTTTTTTTTTCTTCTTCTTTTTTGTGTGTTTTTGGTTAATTTTACTACCAATTTTTTTTCTTTTTTCAAAATAGCCTCTGAAATGGGACTCTAAAGATATATACATGTACTAAATGCATGTAAAAGTATGATCTCCATCTGCATACATGGTATGGTTAGGAGGGAGGATGGCACTTGCTTGCCAGGGGCTGTATATTTATTTGAAGGGTTTGGGGCAAGGGCAACATTGCACTTATATATGTGACAGGGGTAGGACAAGCTTTATGGGTGGGAGGGGCAAACCAAGATTTATAAAGGAGTACAGGTATATATAATTGTCCAAACAGGGTCATGCAATATTTTGACACAGTAATATGTCATCATTTACCAACCATATACACATTTAATACCCATTACAAAAAAAAATAACCCAAAGACACACATTCTCATGTGGTTTGAACCAAAGTGATGTTTCTTTCTGTATCTTATTGATTAATAAAACAATTCAGATCATTCTGATTCTCAATAGAATAGTGAAGATATTTCTATTTTCAGAATCATATTATCAAATCAGACTTTTAAAAGACTGATCACATATTCTTTTTACCTTCAGCTGACAGAATTTTAAAACAATTAATTTTGGTTCATTATCATACACTGATGGATATTTCACGAGTACACATAGATGTGAGCATGCATACATGTATATACAGATGCATTTTTGTAGAAATTGTTCAGTATTTGATTAGCAATTAGAAAATTAGAAGTCTATATTTCTTAAATCCCTAAAATAAGGGCAATGAATTGATATCTGTTAACGATAATTATTTTAGTAATATTGTCAATTTTTAAAAAAATCCATTAGGCTTCAATTCCTGAGTGAATGATGACTAATAATAAAAATTAAAATACATGGTCCTGTTGTCCTTTATAAAACTTATGCTCGGACATCATGAAAGAATTTGTAGTGTTACCTTTATACAGGTAATTTCTTAAAAAAGGTGATATAATGCTATGAAAGGCAAGCAAATTGCAAGGGGCACTGTTGAAATCATGAATTTGTCAAATTGGATATATCAGAATCACACTTAAGAAGACTTTAAACAGTTATACCCTATTTGAAATATGTATAAAAACATTAACCAAAAGCACACATACTCATAGTAGGTAATCTGATACAAACTCACACACACAAAAATTACAGTCACTCACAATATAAAATTTGAAAAAGTATTTTTGAAAAGTGATAAGAATTCTGAAAGGTATTACTCAATTTTTCCTATTGCACATATCAATGTACAAGGGCAAGCTACAAAATGTCGAGTTTCGCCTCGATTACATTGTAGTAATAAAGAAATTGATACTTTACATTATGTGAATAAATTTTTGTTACATGTTTTTTTACATTTTAAGGGCATACATGCTGAACATGAATATGTACCTCAATTTTGCTTCATATAAAGAAACACCAATAGTTCTCTGTGAAGATTTGAAATATTGCTCAGTTACACAAACATGTGTAATAAGACCATCAGCATTCCATGTTCAAAACACACGTTCTAACAAAAACTACAATGTATAAAAGTTTGTATGTTTAAATACAAGCACTTATAACGGTGCACAAATATTCATGTTGTTTGTTAAATGGCAAGAATAATGGATAGCATATATTTTCTCCTTTGAGAATAATACAACCTACTGGCACATTGTTTCATATAATCAAGACACTATTATTGCTGCTGAAACAAGGTTTTTCCACATCTACAATTCTACAATTCTATTAAATAGGCAATGAATAAAAACAGATGAATAAAAAAACAATGATCCACTAATATACTTGCAATTCAAAAATTCTGAAGTACTCCAAGATAAAAGTATCGGAATATCCTAATGATTAAATACACCTCCACCGATTAAAGAATATGACAATTTGATATAAACAGAGTGAAACTCTACACAAGGTTCTACCCATCACCTTGGACTACATCAGATACATATATTGTATCAATGGAGCTAATATCATCTTGAAATATACACCAAATAGCCTGTTATGCCTCATCTTTTGATTAAAAAGGTTCCTCTTCCTCTCGCATTAAAATTTCAGAACTTGTGATAATTTTGGCGATCTGATTGTATTACATGTATGATAAGTGTAATCCAACAGATTTAATAATTCAAAAGTAGCATTCTTATGATGAAAGCAGGTCGATTCTCACTGCTATGATACTGAAAGAAGCACAAAAAGAGAACCACAAAAGTACATAATCAGTCACATGACAACTCCTTGTTCACCTGATACAATTCAGGTGATTGAAAACATCAGATTCGAAAGTAAGTTTTGAAAATTAGCCACGAGGTCAGGTCCAATATAATAATATCACCTTTACAATTCTATGTGGCTACCGACTTTTCCACTTGGGTGCCAACTCACCTTTGATACGCAACGTCGCAACACAGATAGCTTCCCCGTAATCGTTCTTGGCGCGGCACTCGTAAACACCGGCATCTTCGTCAAAGACCTCCACGATTTCCAGTTTGTAAAACTGGCCATCTTCAGAGATTTGAAAGACACCTTGCTCAACTTTGACGCCATCCTTGAACCAAGCGACGGAAGGCTTTGGGTCGCCTGTGATGCGGCACTCATAGGTCAGAGATTCACCCTCGTAGCAGCGGCGGTTGCCAAATGTCTGGGCAAAGTGAGGCGCAGCTTTTGGAGTTTTGGGCACTGGAAGCAAACAAATTTGATATAAGTTAGCATCATTAAATATACTCTAAATGAACAATTCAATCTACCAATGAGTGATATTCTTTACTTTCATGCCATGAATAAAACATTCTACTTTGAAATTCTCACAATTGTATCAGTAACTTCCTCAAAACAATAATAACTTGATCAGAAATTTAAGATGGTAAACACTCTATGGCCTTTCTGCCTTAAACATGTAAGCAGACTGAATAAAAGAGCTATTATTTACCATCAACAACAAGAGTTGCTCCAGAAACATCTCTTCCTTTCTCATTTGTTGCTACTACGCTGTAGGTTCCAGCATCCTGTGCCCCAACCTTGGGGATTGTTAGCATGTTGTGATCCCCAGATTGGCTGATCTGAAAGTTCAAAGAACAAGTACATCAGATAACAAGAACCGACTTGATTATATTGAAAGATGGCCAAAGTCACACATCATCAAGCTTCAGCCTCAGATTAGTTTAGGATGCTCTTATAATATAATGTGATTTTTCGGTTTAAATATGATATGTAGAACTTTGTTACTTAGGCATGTGGGTTTGTCATAGTATATCAAATCATTGAAAAAGTTCAATCGAATGTCTCGGTATCCTCTATATTCAAGACTCTAGATTTGAAGATTTGTTAATGTACATATATTGCAAAAGGTTTGCCCTTGGGGGCAGCGCTGTTCATCAGTCTTGTTGAGGTGTTGGTGGTCATAACAAAGCCCCAATACACAGAAGGCTAACTTGAAACAATATTCCGTGACTGATTTTTTATTTTTGTTACCTGGTGGCAGCGGTGGGATATGTATGTTGTGTGTCAATGCACATTTGCTTCTGAGGGCCTGCAAATAAAGAGATGAATGGGACTACTATGCCAGAAAGGCATTATGCTATCATTACTATTACTTTACATCCAAGTAGACTGACTGACTTGCCTTCATAGTAAGTAATCTATGTAGGCGATAATAAACGATGAATCCTGCAGATGCCACCATATGATAAAACTGTATTTCTACAATACATATTTCTCCACTTAATCACTTAAATGTTACCATTCTTCACTCATATTTTTACCTCAATGTAGGAGTGAGTCTTGATCTCAATACTGTTCTTGAACCATTGTACAGTAGGCTGAGGGCTGCCTTGAATTTTAACCCTGAACTGTGCTTGGTCACCAGGCTGGACCTCAAGGTCATTCAGTCGGATTACGATGGTTGGCCGGTCATCAGCGTCTTTATCTCCTGGAGATATGACAAAAGAATTAACAGATTAAATGCAAGTCCCACTCCATACTAAATACATATAACAGAGCTGCATGCAAGTCCTGCTGAATACAAAATGAACAATCATCATTTATTTATCAAATATCCTATATTATCCTACATTACAAATGCAATATGGGCTTCATGAATCTAGGAGACAGGTGTATTCATATGCCTTAACATGTAGTAAATTTACAATCCAACTTGTGGTCAAGCTCCTTTTACTTTTGTTTCATGTGTCAAATGTTGAGAAAAGTGACCATAATATCACACATTGCTTGACAAATTTCTATCAAAGTTAAAGTACACATTTTACATTGAACAATTCGTATGATGGCAGCATATTTTATATTCAATATATTATCACGGAATGTGATTGTATCAAGCAAAATTACTTCACTGAGAAAAAGATTGAAAACAAAAAAGCCTTTTGAAATAGGCAAGTACTTTTTACAGGGTGCCAAAATCATCATTGAAAACATAAGAAATTGATATGACAAGAAATCAATGCACAAATAATACCTACTACTCCATGCACAAAGATTCCCATAACACTAAAACAAATATACCAAGAAATGAAAACTTAAAGCAGTTATATCAATCTAACTTCTTGTATAAACATGCAGAAAATTACTTAAGTCTTTACTTCTAACAAATTCAGGGATAAAATCACTAAAAATAAATGTACATGTATGAAATTTAGATTTTATATGTTCATTGTGAAAAGTGTATCAAGTTTTCCCTAAGAAATGTGAAAAGTGTACTTTTTGTTTGAAAATTAATTTTAAAAAATCAGAACTTATTTGTTTTAGGTGGTCAACTTCATTAAAAAAAATCCCTTTCAAAATCATCATCATTTATAACACATGCATTTTCATCTCAAAGGAAGAAATTTTAAAACACAAGCATGCATTTAAAACATCCAACTGCTTTTCCTACCTTTCCCCTTGCCCAAGTCACACAAATGACGTCTGTTGCGTGCAGAACATATAAACCAGTTTACAGCACGCAAAACATTAGCCATTCAGTATTAATTTCACACATCTAGCAAATACATAATATCATTATTATGGTTTACTGCATAACATAAACAGAAATTTGCAAAGTTTGTAATCTTTCAAATTTGCTTTACAATCCCAATACCTTCTATCTCTGAAAAATCACTGAATAATATGTAAGCACAAAAGCAGCTTTTTCTTAGTCTAATTACATATCATCTTGGAGATATTCTTAGACAATTCATCCAATGGAAGAAATGTTTCTTGAAAGAGCCTGAACGTCAAGTAGCATTCCTCTCATTCCATTTAAATCCAATTTGTACCAAGTGGGGAGTACACATGTCTGGTTCGGCAGTGACATTGACAAATGGTGAGGTGTGGGAGAAATGCACATAGCAAGCACAGGAGGGGGTGTTCCAGTTATCATGCCCTTGTGTTGAGTGTCTATTTATAGAACATGACATCACCGATTCTTGTGACATCATCAGACTGGAAGCACATCATGATGTTCAGCCTGTCCAATTTGTATTTGATAATGGTAGGATCTACATTCACCTATAAATTTGTGTTCAGTAGTTACTCTATTTGTGCGATCAACCAACAAAGATACACATTTTATTCTCTCTAATATCCTTCCCTTTATTTTGTCTCTCTTCTGAATTCCTCTCTACATATGCAGATTTCACCTACCGGTACTGAATAAAAAAGAAATTTGACCTACGTTTCACACATTCCATCGCTGAATAATGTGTATATTGAATGCCTGCTATACTCTCTCCAGGTGCTATTCATACAATCAGGAGTATACAAACATCAATTTATGTATACTTGGTTCTGGTTCTTAAAATGTAAAACACTGTTGATTTTCTAGCAAATTTAGAAAAAGAGAAAGCAGCATTACACTTCACATAAAGTTGATTTATACAGAAGAATGTGTTAGATAACCTTCACAGGCACACAAAATATCAACTTTTTAAGCATAAAAAATTACTTTTAATAGAAAAGCAGAAGGGAACAATATTATTTATCCTTTCAGTTGTATAACTTCACAGGTACCAAACAGTTTGTATAGAGCATAGAAAGTGTTATTTCACAAGCAGAAACACCAAGAGAGAAAAATTCACTGCAAAACTTATCAATAAGTTACAGAAAGTGTTGCGCTGAAGCACATATAGACACTATTATATCTCATGTATGAGCTCTCCGTTAATCAAGACAAATAAACAATGTACATGTACTTCTACAAACCATTAGAACATGGAGCAAAAGACAAATTGTATCACACTTTTCTTTAGTGTTAGTCATCTTTCTACAGAGTACAAGAGAGCTATATAGAGCAATCTTTGTACCATTGAGGTACATCTTATACTAGATACCTTTTCTTATGAACAGGACGGCATGGGAGGTTCTTGCATCTATATATGGGGTGGTACCAGGAAAGTCTCATAACAATGTGAAAATACAACATGCTTTTGAATGGGTGGGGTCAAGCAGAAAATGAAGGCAGCATAGCTGCTTCAATCCTCAACCACATTCAAACGCTGAAATTCAAATTTACACTTCAAATTCCTCTCCAGGACCACAGCCAAAGATGTAACAAACAAAATGGAAAACTCTCATATTGTAACAATGAAATAGTATTCAAGTCGTAAAATATATTTTTAATTGTTTCTGCTCCTCCCCCCCCCCCCCCCCCCCCACTTTTCAAAACATTTATTGATCTTTCTTTTCTTTTTCTTTTGTAATGAGAAATGGTATTCTCAACATATATGTATTTTCATGTATTAATTGAAATGAAGATATGACTTTGCTGAAATCTTTCTACCAAATTATAAATGGTAATAGGGTTCTCACATATACAATGGAGATGTAAACTTAGAACTGTTTGAATTACCCAATCGCTTAATTACAATATCTGGAGTGCCAAGAAGCTTAAATATTCTGAATTAAACATGTCGCAATAGTCATAAAACATGTTTAATTTGCCACTCCAATATAAGAACTATTCAATATTAAAACCCGGCCCCAACCATTAAACCTATTACCTTTTGTGTTAATTAGTGAGAATTACTGCAAATGAAAATGAACATATAATCCTGGATTCTGAATCCTTTCTCTTAGAAAAGTAAAAATGACAAATATTTTTGTTATACCAAAATAAGTAAGCTGAACATAATAGGCACTGTTATGCAACCAGACAATTTCAAGCAACCTCATTTCAATGGAAAATTTGTGAAAATGTTAGACTGAAAGAATTAAAGAAACAAAACTTTCATCAAAACTCTGAGAAAAGAAAAACCATTAATGAAAGATTGAAATGAAGGAGTGCAAACACTCTAAAACACTGCAGGATGGAGTGATGATATTGTTTACCCTTGATTTAACAATCAAGAAGTTCTAGGTATACATGTCAAGTTTCACAATCACCAATGAACCTGCAAATACTTCTTGTTGCTTCTTGCTTGTGTGTGCACATACTGAATTTGATGTTTGTAGTAGTGCTGGGGTACACTATCGTGATACAGGGTATTGACAGAGATGTGACAGAACTTACCGTCAATGAGAAGAGTTGCAGAAGAAACTGATACGCCAAAGTCGTTGGTGAGAGTGATGCGGTAGTTGCCAGCATCACTTGGCCGAACCTGGATGATCATCAGGATCTGTCTATCGCCCTCTGTGAGGAAACGGACCCGAGACGTCTCCGTGATGGAGCGCTCGTCCTTTGTCCACTTCACCTATTGGGGATTAAAGGGAGAAAAAAAAATCAAAATTACTCTGATTTTCATGACAATCTTGGAGAAAACTTTGTAATGATTAATTTATTTTTGCCTCATACCACATTTGTAAAAAAAGAGGAGAAATCCTGGTCTGGTGTATCAGAGGTTAATTGATTCTAATTCCTACCACGGTACTAATGTCCATTGAAAAGGTGTTTATTTCAGTTTGCCACTCTCAACCTAGGTTATGTTAATGGGTAACCAGTAGGAAGTAATTCTTGAATGCGTTAAGTGCCTCATCATGTATTAGAACCTCAGCTAAAGCCAGAGATATAATATGATACTTTGTAAATCGCATAAAAGTATATTTGTATCTATAGACATAATATCATTCAAATATCATTGTGATATTATACATATTTTTTTATTTTGTTAAAGCATGGAATGAACTAAAAACCAAAACTTACAGTGGGGGCAGGTGATCCCGACATACGACACTCGAGCCTGATGGTACTGCCCTCAGATGCAACCACGCTCTCTAGAGGAGCAATGAAATCAGGCGATTGTTTATCTGTAAAGAAAAAAGAGATGAAAAACTTGTAATTGATCATAATTTTCAAAGTTAAAAAAAATCACATGCACACACAAATAAGCACTCTGACACACAACATGCATATCCCACCGCTACCACCACATCATAACCCCCAAAAATAATCACTTATAAGGCTGGTGAATTTTACAGATATTGACTGAAGTCTCATCAAATTTCTTCTTTTTTATGTGATGCAGAGTAATCAATCTCTTCAAAACCACAAGAAACATTAGGGTTAATTTCATCTTAATCTCCCTGTTGATTCACTATCATATTCACTGAAACTTACCGCCATGTTAAAATAGCAAGTTTGCTAAATAAAAAGCAACGTACATTAAAGATTTCTCACAACTTAACAGTATCAAACAGGTGAAGAAAGAGAGCTACAACCAATACCACATTTGCATTATTCAAGGTCTGCCAAAAGTAAACTCAGGAGCAACAACGAGACTTACCATTGACCATGATGGTACATTCCGTGGTCACCACACTGACCTCAGTCTCTGCTCTACACTGGTACAATCCTGCATCACCAGACGTGGGCCTCTTGATGACGAGGTAGTAGACATCGCCATCACGCACAAATTCAACCCGATCGGAGGGTTGGATAGGCGTGTTGTTGAAGAACCATTGCACCTAGAAGAACAAAATTATGTTGAAGTTGATATGATGTGTGTTCACCATAAGTACGAACATAAATAAACCAATAACCATTTTACAAAATGCTTTTGAAGAAGCAGAAAATCATCAAAATGGAAATACAAACAGGAACAGTCACTGACATCAATCTAAAGATTTCTTCTAATTATAACCAAAATGGAAAGACATACGGTACATAAAAAGTCACTGAAATCAATCTAAAGATTTCTTATAATTATGAATCAATGTTAGGATTCATGTGAGAGATTTCTTAGAAAAGAATGTCAAGGTATCTCCCAAAAAGTTTAGATCATGTGCAAAACCTGCATGAATCTCTGAAGTATAGTTCTTTCAAGATAACAGGATTAAGATAAAGGCTACAAGGGAGGTTGGATATCATTTTTTTAATTTGGTCGTAGTTGACATTTTTCAATAAAGTGGTTCAAAATCGACCAAAACTTTTGGGACTTGGGGTGGGGGGGGGGGGGGTTATTGAAAAGATCACCCCCAACTAACAATACATATATAAGCATTGCATGTCTTCACAACTGCTTACCTGAGCCGAGGGCTTCTCCTCAATCCTCACTCTGAGCTTGATCTCAGTGCTCTCAACAACCTGCTTGTCTGTTAGGTGCTCGGTGAAGACGATTGGCTGGGCTGGTCTAACAACGATTGGTCCTGGACCTGGCATAGGAACCCTAGAGATAGGACCAAGGATAACAAAAATACATCATTAAATCCTTGAAGAGTCAATGAGGCATAAGTGCACACACTATACACACAAATTCCACACAATATTACTCTGCCTGCGATCAAAAGGGATCAAATGACTGGTTTAAATCTAAGAAAAACGCAATCATAAATGTCATAACTTAAATAACTATCCCACAAGTTCAATAAATGGATACCGGTATGATAACAAGAATGAAAAAGACACAGAAGCACATGAAAAGTAAGGAAAAGAACAGGGAAAGAAGTTTATTTCTTGTGGAAGTTGATGGTCAAGGTGATGGCCAAGGGTATAGAAAGGAGACTAATAATGGAGGATGATAAGAAGATAAGTAGAAGATGGAAAAGTAGAAGAACAAAAGGAAAGAAGAAAAGAAAGGAAAGAAGAGGATCAAAAGGGGGTGAGAGTGAGAGGAAGATATTGTGAACATGACAGATGACACAAGGAAAGTGAAATGGAAGAAAGTGGACAACAATGAGGACATGTAGCTAAGCAAACATGGAAAGAAAAAAATAAACATGCACAGAGAAAAGAGAAAGAGGAAAGCAGAACGTATGAGATGGGTTTTTGACAGCGAGGGATGGAGAAAGGATAAGTACGAAAGAAAGCAGGTAAAACTTACGTGACTCCAGAGACATTGATGACAATGTTGACAGTCTCTGTGCCTCTTTCATTCTCTGCAACCACCGTGTATTTGCCTCCTGCATCTGGCCTAGGGTTCTTGATCACCAAGGTGTGCACTGTCTCTTCTTTGATGATCTGTTACAAGATGAAGTGAAGCACAAGTTTTACATACAGCAGGGCTCAACACTTACATGACCCCTAAAACACATGGGCACCCAAAATCTACATCCGGATGTAGATTTTCAACATTTTCAACATTTTTACATAGGACTCATGCATACGGACACTAACAAATTAAACCCAGACCCCTTTCCAAAAAGGTTAGTGTGGAGCCCTGCATATAGGAATGTGTATTTCATTTACCAGGACTTAGTTCCGTCTTAATGGTTTTTTTCCCCAATCTCTACTTCTCCTTTTTTTTCTTCATTTGAAGCTCTAAAAGAGTTGAGCAGTTCCATCTTATTGATACAGCCACACCTGTTGGCTGTTCATGATGGCAAGTTCTTAAATGGCCGTCAGGAGACGGGGGGGGGGGGGGGGGGGGGGGATGGCACAGGGCAGCACATTATTTTATAATGTGGTGCACTTACTGCTATAGTACCCCACCCAGGCTGCATAAGAGCACAGTCCACAGTGAAGTAAGCTCCCTCCCCCTCTCTTCTCTCTCTCTCTTTTTATATTTTCTCCATTTGAATATCACTAGTATCTTAACTACGGAAAATAGAACTTGTTACATACAAACTTAAAATTGAATCAAAAGCTAATATTCAAGTGCAAATGTACAACACATGGAGAAACAAAACATTACCTCAACTTCTTCTGTCTCGACAATCTCTACATCGTTCTGTAGCCATGTGACCTTAGGAGGGGGCTGTCCCCTGATCCTAAAGTGAAGCCTGATTGGTTGGCCCACAGGGATATCAAGATGGCTGAATTGAGTCTGGAGAGGGACGACGTGGGGCGCTGGGGTGAGGGCAGCATTCACTGTAACAAGTAATATAAAACATAACACATGAATGAAGAGACATTTGTACCATTGTCTTTTTACTGTCAATATTGCTGCCCAAATCAATATCAAATGTATTGTAAATGTTGGATGTCATAATAAGAATCGCATCCTTAGTCATCCTTTGTGAACAAATATTAACTCTAGTATGATTTAACATTCATATGAAAGTGAATTTAATCAAATCATTTAAATAATAAGAGAGCAACATGTCATTAACTGTCTAGGGCCAGCTTGTTGCTTATTTCTTCTCAAAGTGGGCACATTCTCATTCAACTTTTACCAAAAACATACAAAGGACTAGCTCCCATTGTGTCAAGAGAAACCTACCATTGACAGTGATCTGGCAAGTGGTGGTATCCTGCCCTGCAGGGTTGGTCGCCTTGCAGACATACCGTCCCTCATCCTCCAGGAAGGCTTCCCTCACATCCAACCTAGCAACGCTCTCCACAAAGCTCATCTCATACTGAGGCTTCCCATTGATGGGTTCGTCATCCTTGTACCACGTGATGCGGGGTGCTGGTTGCCCGGTGACGCGGATGGCGATCTCAATGGGTTCACCCTCAGACACCTCGATGTCCTTGAGACGGCTCTGGAAGCGAGGGGGCATGGCTGCACCCATGACGGGCATGGCGTCGGGCTGGGTGAAGAAGCGGGACTGTAGAGGGGCAAATGCTGGCTCTGCCTTTACTGGTACCACCTCCATCTGTGTTCTGTGAGTAAAACATGATTATGTTAAATTGACTTTCATCACAATGTATACATATTGCCACTACCCAAATGTCATTGGACTTGAAAATACTTCAGTTTTTCTCACTAAATCTCTGAAAGTGTTTTGAAAAACCATGGTGTAAAGAATAAAAGAGATTCTTTTGTTTAAATGTACATTTATAGCAACACTTCTGCTTTATCAGGCTGGGAAAGGGACAATTGCTCTCTGGTCCACTTCCAATACTAAACTTATCTTATAAGTAAGACTCATCTTATAAGCTAAGACACAAATGAAACATATATCCATGTATCTTTGATGAAATATACATGTAGGTCTGAACAAATGCCATGTCATCAGGTGTTGTGGTCTAGTGGATATGTGACCGGACTGTGGATCACATGGTTTGCGGTTTGAGTCCTGCTGTGGCACTAGTGTCCTTTGGTGTAATTTACCTTTTCCACTCTCCACCCAGGTGTTAAATGGGTACCCGGTAGGATGCTGACGTTAATGTAGTTTGCTCAGCATTGTGAGCTATTGTAAAATGGCACCTGGCTAGAATACTCCCCTGGAGTGGAGCATGTGCACAACCATGTGTGGATTAGCAATTGAATCCAATTACCAGGGTAAATACAATGTAAAGCAAAGTATTAAGCACGATATAAATGTGACTATTATCAGTATTATTCAAATGAGCTCTAAGAGTTGCACTCTGTCAACTGCTCAAGGTATATCTCCAAGCCAACTTACTCTGGAGGCACAACATCAATCTCGATGGATGTGGACTCCTGGCCCTTGTCATTCTCTGCTACGACTGTGTAGGTACCAGCATACTCAGGCTTGGCCTCCTTGATTACCAGTTTGTAGTCTGTCTCTTCATTGATGATCTACAATACAAGAAATGAAGGGATTGACCGAGGACTCTACCTTTGTGTTTGTAAACTTTATGAACTGTATCTATTTATTATATAATTAGTAAATCCTTTTGAAAACTATAACCTTTACCAAAATAGTCTCATAATTATCATTGTAAAAATGTCATCTTCAATTCATCAGATTTATGACATGACACTAGAGATAGTGGTATTAATTAGCAGTTTAACAGAAAGAAAAAAAAACACCAGAAAGCTGCATCAAAATAGATAATATATGATGAACTTCACACAGACCAATGTCAGGAATGAATGAACTTTTTTTTATTTTGTCCATTTTTTAATATTTTTTAATCAACATTATCTCTGCCATCTTCAAACAATTTTAGAAGCTCTGTTTACACTTTCACTAGTACCATGACTACCATTTACATCATCATCATCTTCATCATCAACATCATCAGTTACCTCCATTTCAGGAGTCTCCTTTACAGGTACCCCATCATGATACCAGCGTACCACTGGAGGAGGAAAGGCCTCAATCCTAAACTTGAGCACGATGGGCTGGCCTACCGGTATATCAAGATGGCTGGACTGATGTGAGATAGGTTTGATGACGGGTGGGGCTTGGGGTAAAGCTACAGAGAGAGATAGTTGAAAATAATAATAATTATTAGATCAATTATATAGCACAGCTATTATATAAATATACTATGTGAACAGTGCTACTTTACAGACACACAATCATAAACTATGCTAAAGCTTCTAAAAACAAGTGCATCTTCAAAGTTACTATATAAAAGTTATTTTTATAAATTTAAGCTTTGGAGTGGCACAACTGAAAGTGTAAAAATAGTGTTGGCCACATCTCTTTTCTTTCTGTGTTATTTTGCTCATATAACTGATTCGTGAAGTTTGCTTGAATGTCAAGAAGTCAAACGATAATGAATCTAACTAGCATCTATTCATCTCATCCAAATTCAGAAATTATTTCTAAGGTATAGACGTACCATATGAAATGTACATGAAATTATTAAGTAAAAACATGGGTTGGCATTTAAAAATAGAAAAAACTCAATTACAGAAAACCGAGTATCCAGCTTTATCAATAATTCGAAAAACCTGGGAGGCTTTAAAGTGGATTGAGATATATGCTACATGTCCATAATGCTATAAAATGCATTCAATTTATTCCCATGTCCGCGTCAAAAAACATATTTTAATTCCCTGTGATAATAAACTTACACTTGACTTCCACCCTTCCTGACGTGACGTCTCGGCCGAGATAGTTGGTCGCTTGGCAGGTGTAGAGACCCGCATCCTCCAGAAAAGCTTCCCTGACATCCAGGCTAGCAACGCTCTCCATGAAGCTCAGCTCATACTGGGGCTCTTCCTTTGACAGCTCCTTGTTATCTGTTTTAATTCATGTATATGAAATCAAGAATATAACCTAAATGTGTAGATCGGAATTCTATCTTCATGGAAATATGGTAAAATCACTTATTCTCACTTATAGATCACCTCTCTGTTTAAAAGATAGAGCACCTAACAGTTCACTGACTTACAGTATATGAACAAGAATTTTACTAATTCACAATAGCTGTATACAAAGAGTAGAAGTCAAATTAAGAGCAATTTATTGTAATTTTGAATAACGTAATTATGTACCTTATTATCTGTAAAGCCCTATCTTTAATAGCAAAATGCACGTCATCACAATCACCCTCATCTCCACTACCACCTCCACCACTAACATTACTGCTAAAATGTTTGTTTGTTTGCTGTTGTCTAAATTTCCTTTGTACTAAAGTTAACTCCACTATTACTATCATCACTATACGTCACATGCTGCTGTGACATTGCTCCAAGGTAAATTATGCACTAACAAAATTCATGATATCAATCCTGGACCCAATAGTGTACCTTATTCTAAAGCTAACCCTAAATCTACCCTGAAATCCCATTGCAAATCTAGTTCTACCTCTACATATCTATGTATATGAATAAATACAAAATAAGGCTCATAGCAAATGTCATCAGAACAAGATTTCCTTCTCAACATTATACCAAGTGATATCAGGTGCAGACATGTCAGCCACCTTGCATGTAAGCTCAAATGGTTGACCATCAAGGAATACCATCACCACCACCACCACCACCACCACCACTATCATCATCATCACTATCATCATCATTATCACTATCATCATCACCATTAACATCATCATCATCATCATCACCATCACCACCACCGCCACCGCCACCGACACCGCCATCGCCATCACCATCGTTAATAATACTCAGTTCTTAAGAAGGTTTTCTTTCTCACCTTTATACCAGATGATATCAGGTACAGGCATACCAGCCACCTTGCATATGAGCTCAAATGGCTGACCATCAGGTACCACCATGTCCTTGAGCCTGGTCTTGAACCTAGGTGCTGTACCTGGTGGAGTCTTGGTTGCAGGAGCTGGGGCACTCTGGACCTCCTCTTGATTGATAGGTATGCTACAACCAAGACAATAAAAACAGTATCATAGAATTAATATTTTCAGGTGTCAATGATGATTTTAGATAGCAGACGATGCTTGTGACATTATACGGTCAAACCTGCTTTAATGACAACCTGTTTAGAAAGACCACCTGTCTACAATGACCATATTTTTTCCCCTTGAAAATGATTCCTCATTGAAACATGTACTAAAGGAACCTGTACATAATAAAGACCACTTTTCTTGTCTCCCTTGGGTGGTCTTTATAGACAGGTTTTACATGTACATTCAGATTGCATTGGGGGTGTTTACTACTTCTACATGCACGTTCCAATAGAGTAGATATATCCGATTGTAACAGCTCAAACCTTTCGTTTAGAATATACATAACAAACTTTAACCAAGGAATATGTCTGAGCTCTAGACCTTGAGACTGTTACAGGTAATTGTTCCACAAGAACTTTTAAACCATTATTACAACCATTCTGATGAAACTCTTTCATAATGAACATATGGTATATTTATTTGGAACAAATTAAAAGCCAGTCTTTCCCCCAAAAATAGAATAGAAAATGGTATTGGACAGCATTCAACTACACCTTGGCACACATACATGTATATATGTGTAAACATTTACAACTTAACATAAGAAATAAAGACCCAACCAATTTGATGACAACATTATGGTCTAACACATTTCGCCTAAATTCGAGCTCAGGTCATCTGGGCTACATAAATTGGCATTCTTAAACAGTAATGCATCACCAATGAAATATACAAGGCTTACACAACAGGTGGGCGTGGCACATTGATTTCAACGCTGGATGACTCATGTCCGCTCTCATTCTCAGCTCTGATGGTGTACCTGCCGGTGTCGTCAGGCTCTGATCGACTGATCTGCATTGTGTAAGTGGTATCCTCCTTCACAACCTTCAAAACAAAGCATAAACAGTTAGGAATCATAATCAGTTATTATTATTATTATTATTATTATTATTTATTCAGCAAAAACATCGAAAATCATTGAATACAAAACAAGAGTACATTTGGAAAAGAGTCACATGGATGCCGGGAAAAGAAAAAGATTGACTAAATAACAGTAACCCGTAGGTCTGCTTTTCCAATCCATGGTTTAAGTACCTAGGTGTGTGAGAGAGAGTGAGGCCATATTTCTTAAAGTAGTCCAAACTCTTCAGAAGGGGTATAGTACTTAAGATTCAAGATTCAAGATTCAAGATTATTTTATTGGTCCATGCATGCAAACATTACATAGAAATTTTGCTTCCAATGGCTTTTTTGACAGTGAAAATACAAATGATAGAAAATACAATATAATATGGATTAAACAATAATCTTTCAATCAAACTTATTATACCTCCGTCACATCAATAAGACCGACACAAGACTGATAGCACACAATACAAATATCTACATTACATTGAATGGCCAAGATTTTGTGGATTATCAGTATCAGTAAGTCTGGAGTTGGAGTGTGGCTAGAGTAACAGCAGAAGTAAAAGATGACTAAAATGGGATCTAAAGGGCAACAACACCCTCAAAACAAATCAAAACTTTCCCTGATTACATGATAATAAAGCCTTGACATGGAAATATAAAACGTGGCATTTGACAATCAATACATATCATTAAGATACAGAATCTACCAACAGGAAAACATAAGGCTAAATTTCTGACCACATGCTGTGAATTAAAAGACTTCCAGTCTTTATACATATCGATACGCAAATATCTTTGTGAAAACTATGGATGCTCAATAAAGTGAAGCACATGATGATATTACCTTGATTCTTCCATCTGGTCTAAGTGGGCGGTCATTGTGATGCCAGGTGACCGTAGGCTCTGGGTTACCGGACACCTTGAAGGCCAGCTTGATGGGTTGACCAACAGGGATCTCCAATGAGTTGGACTCTAGCTTCAGAGGTTGGATCCAGGGTGCAGTGGGGGATGAATCCTCTGTGAAATTCAGGAGAAGGAAGAATCCTCATGATACATATATACTACAGGGGGATGTTTCACAAAACTTGTCATCAGTGACAAATGACAGTTGTTGTTATAAGCTACTGAAATCCTTGCTACTGATTGGTTATCAGCAGATTTGTCACTGATATCTGAAATTTGTCATTGAAAAAAGGCTTTGTGAAACGGGTCCCAGATCATAAGATTCACCCATAGCATATTGAGAGGGATAGTTGCGATACCGCACGCATACGCACTCATGGTTCAATTCATGGAGCGCTGAAATACTTCCCTCCTATAGAGATTGTACATGGGAAGGAACTATCTGGCTCCATGAATTGAACCTTAAGTGTATACAAATGCGCAGGTCACTACTATCTGTCTCAATACGCCATGGATTTACCACCTTTTTGAATGAAAACAATCATCTTTTGAGAGCCAGGAAGGCCTCTGTGTGAGAGTTTAAGAGGTAATGGTTTGTTAGCTCTAAGCAGGCAAAATATATGTGTCATTTCTTTATGTTTGATATCATTTGCTTGAGGCTACTTCACCCTTCATTGTGTAAACTTACTTCTACAATCATATTTAAAATCTTTATTTAGTTTTTAAATATCACACAAAAGTAATAGGAGTTAAAAAGACTAAAGATCTGTCTACATATTCAAATCAGGCATATATTTATGTCAAATGTACATGTGTATGAATGCAATATTGATAAGATTACCATTTGTTAATTGGATTTTTTTTGGGTGGAATTATCAATATGAAAAGATGTATGCACATAATATGCCAGTAAATCTTGATAAAATTACAGTATTATACACATTAGATTGATATATACAGGTAGGTCATGAAAATACATCAGAATGAAAAATGAAAACATGACAAGTTGTATTGTGTCAATTCATGACAGCATAAAAACTGCACAATGAGTACTGAAATAAATATTACATGGTATATGACGTTGAATGGAACATGTATAAATTTACAACAATTACAGCAATTTTGAAAAGTAATGCACATTCGATACCAAGGTCAACAGAAAGTGGTGAAGATAGATAGAGATAAGAAAAAAATATATTTCAACCACAGAGAATTTTGCAATTATTCTAAGCCAACTGGGTCTCATATATTCAGTAATGAGCCATTCATGTACCGGGTATGTGTCCAAAATAAAATAGGAGAATAAATTCCTCCCTAAAAATAATTTTGTGTAAAGAGATTGTTTGCCCGACATGAATTGATTGCACAACTGATTTTATCCTAACAACAAAAACTGTATATAAAAATGTTTGCAACTAATTTTCAATATCAAGGAGGGACCCATTTTGTGTTTAAATGAAAATACATAAATGAATGTGGTATTCAAAGAGCAAAAAAACACCCCTATTTGCTTTTTCACATCTCTTTAACTCTGTTGTAAAGCTGTGCATTACCCTCATTACAGTCTAATCTAAATCAGTTAACACAAAAAGACAAGTGGTACAAAGAGCACACAAAATGTAAAGCAAAATCAAATGATAAGAAAAGAAAGAAAAAATAGAAATTAGTGAACTGAACTGAACAGAAGGGGAAAAAACAGAAAATAGAAACAATGATTATGTCAGTTTTGTGAAATAGTTATAAAGGGAAAAAATATTATTAATCACAAAGTTAACACAATTGAACAATGGGATAGAACATCAAAGAAACAAAAAATGTAAAAGTAATGTAAAATGAACACATTAGAAAGTGAAATAAGTACATCAAATTAAAAGGAGCTGTATAGCATAAGGTGAATATATACCAAAATCTAGCGAAGCAAGATAATTATAATTTATTCACAAAAGCACACATATACATGGACTGATTTGACAGCAACCAAGCAAAGTTTGAATAATGATAATGGATTCTGAATAAGGTCTTTCAATTTTATGTAAATAAATACAAAATTAGAGATGAAATCATCATTCTAATGTCTGTGTAGTCAGGGCTCTTGTCTCTTGAAATTATTAAAAGTTCAATGTGATTCATTCAACGTAATGCATCACCATATCCAACTGTGCATGGTGTGTTTACTTGACTATAGCATGAAAAGCAGTGCAAGTAATTACTATGTGTACAAGTAACTGAAAAACAAAAATTGAGAGCAAAGCACTAAAGTTTACAATAGATGTGCTTCTAGAAGTGAAGTTAGTATAATTGTAATTGCAATATACAATATACAGATATGGAATTGAAAGTAAACTTTCCAATACAGTTCATTCGCAAATACTGTAATCCAGGAAGAAGAAAAAATCAAACTCCAACTGTGATTACTGAATCACCTTTTCTTGACAAGTTTTTTGATCAACAAAACTTCCTTGCCAAGCAAATAACAATGCGCAGCAATAAATGTCACATATTTGCTAGGACTGGCAGAGGCAAAAATGAAATAATTGCTAAAAAACTTGTAAATCTTACAAGCATCATGCACATATTCATCAGTGTTCTAACTATGTGCTTCCATTATTTCCTGACAGAAATAAATCCACCTATTCGGCAAACATTTTGAATAAGTTTATCAAATTGAATCACGATTGAAGGCATGAAAAGGGTTCAATCTTTTTAAATTCAAGGAAATTGGTTTCTATCTCATTCTGTAAATCGCTATAATTTGTACAATTCTATGTATTTTCCCTTTAATTTAGTTTTAGCAATGTTATTTTTCGGACGATGCTGGCTGGTTTTATGCAATAAGGCTAAAAAGAGACACAGACAAGTTTGAACCCTGTAAGTTCTCTACAAGTTGAGGACTGAAAAGCTTTAAATGGGAAAGTGTGAGGGCCCAAAGTCAGTCAATAGAATGTGACAAGAAAAATTTGGCAACATTATCACTTTTTTGAAGAAAACTGTAGGACTCCAAAAATATATGGTAATTATCTGTTGCTTGGGGTAGAGATTAAAAGTTATCAATAAGATATATTGCACTCGTACACATGCAGCGCCAATAAAGCATAAAGCTCAGTAGCAGTTAAGAGCAGCAAACATTGCACTTTTAACATTCAAGCGTATGCTACTTCTTTGGTACAGGTATGATGAGGGGCAGTGCAGTGCAGTGAAACATTTTACTGTGACAGAAGCAGGATTAACCAGGCATTTGATGTTGGAAGAACCATTACCAGTGTTTGAAAGACCCTTTAACTGTACATGTTACTTACAGCAAATGATATTATTCTGTTTGGTAATTGTGCAGTAAACTTGTTGTTTTATTTTGTGCTAAAGAGAGTCATGTCATTTCATTGTGAAATTAAACAGATTTGGTTGTTACTGATATAGATTTTCATACTCCAAACAAATACCTGGCAGTGTGCTTTTTCTATAAATACATAGGGTGAGAGTGCATAGGCATGTATAATGTAACAGGTTAATCTAGAATGTTGGCTACAAATGCCTATATTTTTTTTCTTAATTAGATGATGATGATGGGAAGTCACGTCACAGTGATGAAGGGATGAACACAAATGATATATGTTCTGTTGATAAGCCCACAGACGAATCTCACCAAGAACTGTTACTTGAGCCGACGACTCGTCACTTCCGATCGCGTTCGTCACCCGGCAAGTGTACATGCCTGAATCTTCGGGAAACGACTCATTGACGTGCAAGGTCGCCATGTTACTTTGGAATTTCATGACGTATTCGTACCCTTCGTCTAGCGCTTCTTCACCTTTGTACCACTGGGCTGTGATTGGTGCGATACCATCAACCACGCATGCTAGCTTAAATGGAGCGCCCTCTTGGACCGTCACATTTTCTAATTTGGAGAGGATGCAGGCAGCTTCGTGTTTAGGACTGACGTCAGCAGCAGCAGCGTCTATTTCATCCACGGCTGAGGGTTAGTGTTGGAAAAGAAAATGAAATGAGGGGATAGGAGAGATGAGGAGAATCATATCCAGCCAAAATAAAAAAAAAGTCAAAGCAATACATGTAGCTTGCAAAGAAAGGAAAAGCATTTTAAAATTATGTTTGTCCGAGAAATATACCAAGTACAAAGCTGTTTGAATACAAAAAGAAAACGAAATGGCAGAAACTTTACGTTACCAGAAAAATTAGTACATGATCAAAGATTCTACTAGAAGCTACATGTAACACCTATCACCACAAACACCAATGTAACATGCAAAGAGAATCCTTCATGAGGGAAAAAACTAAGACTAGGCATAACAAATGACAACCTAATGGCACATTCAAAAGAACATGCTTAGCTCAGACTTGTTATGATAATGAATATTGTAATATCAAAATAAAGATGTGTTTTGATGCATTACTCAAAATGCAAACAAATCCATGAAGTTTTAAAAGATCAATCCATGCTTTGTTGTATTTGTCTCATTCAAGAAAATGCATTCTTCCAAGAAAGCAAATATATCGGTTTGTGCTGGTCTTTTCTGTTGAAAAATTCCAAATAAAGACCTTTCTGTTCTAGTTGTCTTTAATAGTGAATGCCTTGACTTGACTTGATTTCACATTTACCTTTCAAGCATCATAGGGCTCCGTCAATCATAATTTTGTTCATAACTTCAACGATATTAATCATAACTTTAATATCAGAATAACTCTAGGTCACTAAATTGAAAATCCTAAATATCTATCAATCTTCCATGACATGGTATTTTTCACCTATCAAATAAAATCATAACATTTTCAAATATCAGGCAAATTTAACCTATTTTGTTTAAGAAATGATAAATGTAACTACTGAATAAAAGTTTGCATTAGAAGAGCTTAAATACAACAAATACCAAAAGAGGGAAAGCCCTGTTGAAAGAAGGAAAGTTTGAAAGCTCTGAGATAAGAAGATTGCCTTCGAAAGCTCATAGATGAGGAGAAGAGTGGTAATAGACAGAATTGAAAAAGGGTGGTGTCATAATGAGCGTGGTCAAAGCGAAACCACTGTATTAGAATCTCACCAGTTACAACGATTAAGTTTGCACTCGATGCAGTGCGCCCCCAAGCGTTAGTGGCCTGACAGGTATACACCCCTTCGTCCTCCGCGAAAGACTCATTCACTTTGAGCACAGCAAGACCTTCTTGGTCATCAAAGGTCATCAGGAATTCACCCGCTTCATCAAGTGCTTCGTCCTCTTTGAACCAATTGACGGAGAGGGGCAACTCCCCGCCGATTTGGCAAGTGAGACGAATAGGGTCGCCTTCTTGTAAGGTCATGTCTTCGGGGTGGGATATGATGACCGGCGCCCTTAAATCATCGTCATCTAGACCTGAGCAAAATCGTTTTCCGTGTTGGGATTCATTGTTAGTGATTATCACAATAAAGATTAACTGCAGATCAAGTGTTAACCAAATTACTGTTGTTTGTTTCAGTTTGTAAGTTGAGTAAAATTAAGTTTTGAAGAATGGTAGTAAAGATGTGCATTGAAGAATTGACGGATATAAATGTATTATGTGAGGAATAGAATCTTCCATATATTTCAGAATATATGTATGTATATATTGAATTAGTGCAACATAACATAAAAAAGAATTTGAATTGTGGTCTCACAACTTTGTCAACACAGACAATTGTTAATACTTTGTATAAAGGATACACATGTAGATGTACATATACTATAATCATAGTTTACTACAACTTGGTGTGCATATAAATGTATATGCATTGTATGACCTCAAAAGAATGAACACCTCACTTACATGTAATCAATCATGTAAATATGAAATTTGAGAAGGATTACATAATATGCACCTGATCTGCAGTTCATGGTTATTATTACTTTTCCACTACCACTTCATTTTTGTACTATTTCTAACATTATGCACAAGCATATGCAGTTGCAAAGGTTTGTTAGACCTTTACATGATACATCCATTTTACATGAAATGATGAGTCAAAGTCAATCTACAAGATATGCAATGACACTAATGCACTATAAGACAATAAAAACATCACTAACTAACTTTCATTCTCAATCATGCAGCATCAATGCAACAAGAAACGATTTCAAACATCATTAAATAGAAATTGATTCATCAATGTCATCTCGTAATCATAAACATTGTTTGATTTGATAATATTTTCTACATTTCATCAGGAATGTGTAATACCCAAAGAAAATATTACATAGTCCATTTGCAATTTTATTAATTTACTTACTTATCAATTCAAGATTTAATGCCACAATGCAAAATAATAAAAGCAACAACTTAACCCTAAAAATGCAAACATGCAAGCATTCAAATTTCTGAACACATTAATAGCCAGAAAGCCCCAATATATTTCTACTTTCTTATGAAAGGCACTCTGAAATGCCATTTCCCTGCCTCCGATGATTTTCAAAATGAGGATGGAATGAAAAAACTCCATAACCAGCCATAATAAAACATTGTCATTGGCCAAAGCACTGGATTAGAAATGAGAATATCTCACTTGATAGGAAGATGCTCATCAAATTAATTGTTAACAAAGTGCACAATAAAACAGCTGAAAATGTAAATACCTGTACCTGTAGTCGATACTACAAAACTGTAAAAATTAGAGAGAATGGTTCTTGAGTAACTGGCACCGGATGACAGTTAAGTAAAAAAAGACTCAAAGTTACAATCACAAACCAAGGATGGCTGCGTTTCTGACTTACCCATTACAGACAGCATACAGGTGGTTTCCGCTTTGCCAGCCTCGTTGGTCGCACGACAGCTGTACCTGGCCGCATCCTCGGGGAAGACTTCATCGATCTCGAGTCTACAGACACCGGTCTCGGTGTTGCGCTTGAGATTGTAGTCAGGGTTTTCTTCCTTGACAGGTTTGTTGTTTTTAAGCCACTCTACCTGTGATGCATTATAAAACAAGTTGTATTTTGGTTAAGGAATGAAACATTCTTGCTTCACAGTGTGATTCCATGTAAGATTACTCGTTTCTGAATAAACCAATGTAAAAATAATGAATAAAAGATTTTCTGATTATGATGCAAGTCTCTAGGCCAGGCCTTCTCAACTAGTTTATTAGAAGTGCCAAAACGAAAATAATTTGTAGTTGAAGTGCCACCATGTATGGTTGACTGTGCTGCGAAGGAGCGTAGCGACCGAGCCGAAAATCGTTGGGGTCCAGGGGCGAAGCCCCCTGAAGCTGTTGGATTTAGGGCTTTCTATAGGCCCAAATGGGGCATTTTTAGCACCATTTCATTCCACAATATAATCAATCATAATTTCATTTTGATGTGAAAAAATTAGTACAATTCCTGGGTACAATTACACTGGAGGTATATTTTGACTCTATATGTAGTTTTTGGTGTCCAATTAACACGGGAAATGTCAAAATAAAGTGAAAATCAAACAAACAAAAACAAGATGTTTCCAGAGATACGTAATGTTAAAATTGGTATCCCATCGAATTGATCGTAAGCTAATTGTTGTTCAGACCTTAGGTTTACATTCGTATAAAATGGTAGAAAACGATAAATTCCCCTTTCTTCCTATTTGTTAAGCAGGCATTTTGGGCTCAAATTCGACTGCAACTTCTTGATTTCGCTGAGTATTGGTCTATTTGCTTGCTTTCTGTTTTTTGGTTTTGTTGTTGCAACAGTCGCGCGCCACTCCGACTGACCGCAAGCGCCACAAGTGGCGCGCGCGCCGCCAGTTGAGAAGGCCTGCTCTAGGCCACTTGAACTGCCCAATTTTGTATATCGATCATTTCCAATATTGTATGATAAAGCAAACCTTATAAAGTCCTTGATATGGTATTGTTAGCAAGAGCGTCAAGTTACTTGAAAGTGCAAACCAAAGTCATAAAGGGACTATCTTGACAAGACCGCCTTGGTCTTTTAAGGTTATATATATATATATATATATATATATATATATATAATAATAATATATTCCGCATTTATATAGCGCTTAATACATTGACGATGTCTCGAAGCGCTACTTTTGATTCCATGTATAATGATTTGCATCTGTGCTGTATTTCTGATTTACATGTGTATATGCTTTTATTGGAATCAAACAAAAAAATTAATTTGAATTTGAAGTCTGTATACTCACCACAGGCACTGGGTCTCCCTTCAGCACACACTCAAAGGCAAATGGGGTTCCCTTCTTGGCCTGAGCATTCACCAATGGGGTAAGGAACACTGGGGGCTCCTCAGCTTCTGTTGGTTAGTAAATGACAAATAGAGAGTATGAACAACAAGCAGATGTAGACTGGGACATGTTTCATTAGGGAAGTGGATGCCAGTATGTTGAAAAATTAATCACCAATATTCATCACTTTACAGAGTATAACAACGAGTCCTATTATTATCTCTACAGCTGTATTTGTCAATAAACTGACACATTGAATAGACTCAAGATATTCATTGCTTTTAATGACCTCTACAAAATAGATTTTTAATGAATATGAAAACATATTTTTTAATACAAATGTTTATGACTTTCATCCAGCTTACTTAAATTAAATTACTGAATTCTACGACAAAACAATTTCTGAAACAAAATAATATAATCACAATTAGGCTTGGGTGCAAATGATGTTTGTTTATCAATAATCATTCATTATCTATCTAACATTAAAGCCACATGACCCATGACATGCTCTTTAGAATTTCCGTCAATACCATCATCTTAAATGAAAGCTATAAGAACCATCTCAACCTACCATTGACTTTGACCTGGATGATGCACTCCGCCCTACCCGCAGGGTTGGTTGCCGTGCAGATGAAGATGCCTTCATCCTCCAGATCAGCCTCTGGGATGATGAGGGTGTGTGTCTTCTTATCTACCTTCAGGATGTAAGGTTCTCCTTTCACCTTGATACCATCCTTGGACCTAAAAGGATAATTATATATTTAAACTTGGGGTAAGATGCTTACTTTTATTGCTGACTACTAATGAATTTTATCTACAGCAGGACATCCTTAGGCCAATTGGAAAAGGTCAATTCTTGTGTTCAACTCAAGGCAACCCAATTTTCTTATGACACATCTTGCTATGGCTTTATGTTACCTAAAATGGAACATTGATTTCCAAAGTTTATATCAATTTCTAATTCATTTTATGATACAGTGGAACTTACTAGAGGGAGATCCCTTAAAAAAAAAAAAAAACAGGGCAGAGGAAAATCCATTGAAATCCCCTGGAAAAAATCTTTCATTTCCTCCCAAACTCTGCAGATACAAAAATCAACACTTATATCCAGAATCGCTGTAAGATGGTTTCGTCTATTAAATACTTCTCACAGGTCCAAACCACAGTCATCTCCATCATATGTCAGTCTTGCACCTTGTCTGACTGAAACCAATTCTCTTTACCCACATTTTCCCCTCTTTTACTCATTAAACTTACCATACTACGTTAGGTTGCGGGTAGGCATCCACAGTGACTTCCAAGATAAGAGGCTTGCCCTCTTCTACATTCTTGTCCCCAGGGATCTCGATGAACTTAGGCATGGTAGCATTGTGAGTCAGCTTGATGTGCCCTGTGGATACCTTAGGTACCTCCTTAGGCAGCACAAATTCCTCCTGTACAGCTGTGATTGAATTGAATTTGATTTGAATCGAATTTATTTATTCACGGTAAAACTCACATCAACCTAAAAGGTCAGTGTAAAAAACATAAAACAGATCATAAAGACTCCAAATTGAATATAAATACATAGGCAAAACTACTTAAAGATGACATACATGTATATAACACAAAATTAAATAAAAAGCTAGCACATGAAATAAAAATAACGAGCATAAAGATATATGATATTAAAAAAATTCATATGAATAAATTAGGAAGAACAAAAAATCTAACATATTAATTGAAAATAACAGACATAGTTATGTGTTATAAAATATGTGTGAAACCAGATGGGAGAGATCAACAGTCACATGTCCATTCAGTAAGGAACAAAATGTATTTTACATGACTTCAAACAAAACGTTACAATGGCCTATCTTTTGTGTACCAAGTTGCAATTGTTTCAGGTTGATCACAAATCTTTATACGACAGGGCCCTGGATCAAGAACGTCACAGACAATCTAGATTTTGAAGTCAAATGGTTTTTTGTTGCTCATCATGACAGTGGTTTATACAAGAGTTGGCTTACAAATTGCAGTTAACCTCTTTCAGATATATCAATGTTGATGTATACCATATCATCCATTCAGTACCAGGATTTTTTTTTTTTTAGCAAAGTTTTTTTTAATACACATCACCAACACTTGTTTTTGGATAACAACCGTAATCTCCATGCTTGAATTGTTGATAAAATGAAAAGAAAACAGAAAGTTGTGAATAACTAACTACCTTGTACGTGCAGCTCAGCTTTGCACACTGCTTCACCGATCACATTGAAAGCTTTGATGGAGTACACTCCTGCCGCTTCAGGCTGAGTGTTGTAGAAGCTCAGGGCACAGATACCTGCGTCTCCGCACTCCACTCTCAGATTATTGGACGTACGGACGGGAACACCATCCTTGAACCACTCCACCTCGGGCGCAGGGTCTCCCTTCACAACACAGTCCAATTCTAGAAAGAATAATAAAATTTTAAAAATAATAATACTACTAATAAAAAAAACGATGCTTATAAAGTGCTTACCACCGAAGTCTCTAAGCATTCAAACAAACAAAATACAATGATAAACAATTAGATATTAAACAAAACAACAAATTACAAATAAACCTACAAATTACAATACATATGTTATATACATCAATGTGAAAAGAGTAAGTTAATCATCAAAAGCAATTTTGAATAAATTTGTCTGTAGAAGATCATCAAAAAGTGTTGACATGTCAATCTTGGCATACAATGGAAAGAAATCTGAATTCATGGTTCTCTCATATTATCACTAATTTCTTTGAATTCTTGGTACATGTATATGTTGATACTAATCTCTGAAATCACGTTGATCAATCATGCACTTTCTTACCCCCTTGCTTTTTTTAAACATGAAACTATATCAATGAGCGATCATAAATAGCATACACACATCTATCATCACATTGTCATTACCACTATTATAGTAGAGGTATAATATGTACGTAATTCTGATCATTTATTCTGAATTGTCCATTTTGGGTCAATGATCATTTTTTAAGATGTGGATGATGACAGACTATGATATCCAGCAGTGAACATCATATCGGTGACAGAGATGTTCATACATGTAATTACAAATTTGTACTAATGACTGCTGGAGTTATATGGCAAATAGAAGTAGGATCAGATTATAGGAAAGTACAGTGATGTGAAGCAGATGTCCTTATCAACCATAAAATAAACCAAATGAACACACGGCCATCACTCCTTATCCACTCATTTGATGAAACCATTGTGTGAAGGAACCAGACTTTGTACTTGTTCCTGTATTTTGGTTGTAGGGAATGAGAGACTTTGTTAGTCAATGGCTTAATCAATCACTCAGAACTTACGAGTTGCTCTGCCTTGCTTGACAAGGTTGTCCCTGATCTTCCTGGTGAAGTAAGGAGCATAACCAACTGGCTTGGGGGGTTCTGGTTCCGGTGCTGGGAAGGTTAGGAAGGCTTCTACCGGCTCCTTCCTGGTCTGTGTTATAGGCGATTCAGGTTGGACAAGCTGCATGGAAGGATATCAATATCAACATTACATTTTAAAGCTGCACTAATTTGGCAAGGAAGGATTAGACCTCCCTGCATGGTCACTGGCAGGTGGTTATCTCATCAAATCAGCTCTCAATTAACATAAGAAAAAGGGGACCATGGGGGATCAACGGGAACCACTTAGGCACTGTTGGCTATATAGAGGGCGCAAGTAACTAAAAGTAGTGCAGTCCCGCTTTAAGTTGTAAGAACAATTAAAACCAAGATCACAATTTTCAAAGAATATATCAAGTTCTATGTAAATATAAACATTTATAAATCAGTTCTACTAACTGCTTCCTTAACTCAAAGGTATAGAAACCTGCATGTAGATGGCATCAATATTTGAATCAAATGCCAAAAGTCTGAAACAATAACAATAACTCCTTCCTAAAAACTGATACTAGCCATTCCCCCAAGAGAATGGAACATGGAGGATGTACTAGAACATGAAGGCTACCGAAGTAGCCCTAAATTATCACATCTGCTAAGGGTATGAGTAATAAACTTGCATGACGGGCGGTTGTAATAATTTGTACCTTAATGGACTTGGTACTCTTCTCTGGGAGTCTGTCCAATGGCATCTCTGCATCGCTTGTATGTTCCTCAGGGAGGATGATCTCTGCTACCTGACGCACAGGACGAGGTGCATTCCACTGCTTCATCTGCACTGGCTTCTGGTACTGTGGTACCACACTCTCCTGCACTGCTTTAGGTGGTGGTGGTGGCTGCCAGGGCTTTGTCTCCACCGGCTTTTGACTGGTCGGTTCCACGGACTCGTTTACCCGACCTGGCGGTGCCGGCACGGGTTTCTGGGATTGGAACAGCGGTACCGTTTGCACCGTTCGTTGGATTTGAGGTAGTACTGTCTCGTCTGGTTTGGCTTGTACTGGAACAGTTTGTCGGGGTAGGTTGTTGGCAAGGGCGAAGAGTTCATCGTTGGTGACCTGAAGAGCATCAAGGAGCTCACGGTTTGTCTTGACAGTTGAGGTGACACGAGGTGGTACCTTGTGACCTGAAAAATGTACAAGTTGTACTTAAAAATTACCATAACATTGTACATATCTACAGCAATATCACACATTTATGTCTAAATATATCTCAGTAATTATACCAGCATCACATAAACATTGGAGAGTAAATTACTACAACACTTACAAGCATCGCACTGACCTCAAATAAATTGTTGCAACTTGGATTTTAATTCTGTTTAAGCATCATTTAAACAACTCTTCATTTATTTGATACTGATTCAGAAATCTTTGTTAAATTTTTCAGCATATTAGACAAAGCTCATTTTCAAATTATCAAGGATACTGTCCCACTGGCCTGCCTTTCCTCCCCTTTCAGAACCAAAATGACATACCTCAAGTATACAATCCAAAAACTGTGCCCTCTTCTTTCATATTTCTGCCACAAAAGCCACCTCAAAATTTTGTTATAATCAGATATTTTAAAGACTGCTCTGCCCGCCCCCTCGCAAAAATCTGGATACACCCCTGCCCTGTCCTGCAGGTACTTACTGTATAGCTCAATGGCCATCTCATTCAGTTTGAAGAGCCTTGCTTTCTGTCTGGCATCTCCTTTCTCAATGAAGTCTTCCACCTCTTCCAATGTCTCTGCTGCCTGTTCCTGTGCAGTGAAGAGAGGTTTCTTCTGGCCAACAGCCACCAGTAGATCCTCTGCTTTCACCTGCCACTCCACAACCTTTAAAACAAGATTGCAAAAAAAGTTCCAATGATGTTGCAGACATAGACACTGTTGGATGATTGATTTTAGTTGAAAGCTAGTCTGCCAACCGCAATATATTATCCAAATTCAAATTTATTATGACAAATGAACACCTACAGGGTATCAGACAAATCTTGTATTTCCATTGAAGAAGAGCTAGGCTTCATCATTTTCCAACTTAATGAGTTGAACAGTTTAATTTTTGTACACAAATTCACATTTTTTTGTAAATAAATTCATCACAATGGCCTAGAAAGGGATAGATAATTCATCAGCTCCAATACTGAAAATAATACAAATCAAATGTTAGTGTAACTACGGACAATAAACTTCAAAATTATATATTCATGTAATCAACATCAAAAGGGCTAAAACTCAAATGGTAGAGTCTATAACTGACTGTGCTGTATGTTTGAAGTTGAGAGGATGGTTTGCTAATACTTACAGTTTTGTAGAGATCATGGAACTTTGGCGCAGTCTTGAGCTTCTTGCGCTGGTCTTCCAGAGAAACACTCAGCTTGCTCCAGAAGCGGTTGACATCATCAATGTCCCTCTTGATGGCAGAGGCATTAGGAGGGTTCTTAGCAAGGGCAGCAGTGGCTACGTTCACAAAGTCCTTGTGTTCTACCGCGATTGGCTGAAAAGGTTGAAATTGAACAAAAATAGTTAGATCTGGGCCCTATTTCATAAAACTTGTTATCAATAACAAGTTACAAGCTACTGTTATAAGCTACTATAATCATGGCATCTGATTGGCTGAGAGCAAATTTGTTATAAAAATTTAGCATTTGTTATAGATAACAAGTTTTATGAAACGGGCCTCTGGTAGAGTATTGCTTTATTTCAATATGAGAAATATGCCAAACGTTAACCAATTTTATGCGCTCTGGTAGAGTATAATTTTCACATTTGAGTATTATTAATTACAGTGATGTATAGTGAAATTATAAGTCCTTACTCTACAGCAAAATAATTAGCTTTTCCGTATCCATACTACATAAGTAATGCCATTTTCCAGTTTGACTAGCTACTTTAGGTTCCTTAACAACTTGTAAAAATAGGATATATATATATACATCCTATTTTTACAATACATATACTCTGATCTAGTTAACTGATAGCATATTCAAATGGTTGAAATTAATTAAATCATTTATGCAAGAGACAAATGTAGATTCCTTATTTTTAGAAAAATATGATTTAAGTGCCTGCGCACGCAGAAACAACCATTTCAGTCGAAAGAAACTACAAACCTACCTTCATGTCTTGCTCAAAAGTGGCAAACTTCCTCTGGACTTCTGGCAGGTCTTCTGCCTTCTCTCCATAGTCAGTCTTGAGTTCTCCAAGGTGCTTGGTGGCCTTCTGGATTCGGACAGCCAACTGTTCGAAAGGAAATACAAAGCAATGGATGACGTTATTTATAATGATTATATCGTCTCAATCATCTGAGGTAGCCTCAACAGTATCAAGAATGTTCTTATCAATAATTTAACCCAAGCTTTAGCCTGGCTACCGCAAAAGGTGTTCAAGCATTTGAAGATTTCTTCCTTCAAGATGAGATACCAATTTATACTTCATGTGGGTGGAGAGTAGCAAACGTAGATTAATGCCTTACCAAAGGATATTAGTGCAGTGACCATCTTTAATACAACACTCTCCAGCAACCAGAACCCACCAATGATTCACGTAGGATTATAATTAAGAACATTAAAGGCTGGCTGTACTAGTTCAGCCAGAAGGGATTAGACCACCCAGCTAGCCAGTGAGGTCACTGTGACAGGTGGCTATCTCATTAAATCAGCTCTCAAATAACATAAGAAAAAGAGGATCATGGGGGACCAACAGGCACTGATTGGGGAATTTTTCTATAAAGAGGGAGCAAGTAGCTACAAGTAGTACAGTGTGGATTTAAATGGTATAAAAAATGATTTTAAAACATCTGAAAAATTGGAAAGACAGTGGATTTAAATTAAAGGAAACATTGAAAAACTTAAAGATCAACTGAGATTTGATTGAAGGCAGGACACTGGACGTACCGTCTTGAATCTCTTGTGGATGTTGAAGATGACCTCCACCTTATGTCTGTAGTCAGTTATCTGTCTGTGAAGCTTAGACCAGTAGCGTTCTGCCTCGGCTATGTCTTTCTCAATCACGCCAGCAGAGGGAGGCCTACGGTCGAGAGCAATGTGGGCAGAGCTCAGGTATTTCTTGTACTCGTCTTCCAGGACCTGCATTGAGAGACGATCAAGGAGGGAATCAAGTCAATTAAATTCAAAGCTTTTATTTATTTTTCAATAAAACAATAAGTGAAAAATAAATCAGTAAATCAACCGAGTGACAAAGATTAAAACATCTTACGTATATATAAATAAATATATATATATATATATATATATATATATATATATATATATATATATAAATAAATATAAAGCATGAATAAACATCATTATTAGTAAAATGTTAAAAATCTTTATCTACACATACCTTTCAAACAAATATAAACAGAAATAAACTGTAGAATAATATCTATTGTATCTTCAGTGTTCTTTTTGGTATAGGTTTTAGATACATGTACCTAAAAATGATCAAATAAACACAAAACAAGAAAAGATTCAAATGGAAATCAGTCTTTGTCTTTGAATGTTATATTCACCTTGATATGTGCTTCCCATGATTCATGTTTCTCAATGATGAGAGATGACGAGTGAGGTGTGCTCTCAAGCTCATTCAGGTCATCTTCTGCTTGCTCCATATTCAAGATCAACTGAAATGATAGACAGTACAGACATACGTAGTTAGAAAGGTTGGTGTATCCTTGTAGAAATATATCATTTTAAGGTTTCCTGACTAAGGAAAACTTAACAATATTTGGAACATTACAAATGGAGTATTCTAGCATCTTTAGTTAGACAAGATATTGTTAAACATATGTACTCTGCAAATTTTCGGCTGCTCGACATTATCAATACTGTAAAAACAACAGATGAACAACAATAAAACCATGGTACCATTATATCTATAGCATTATTAAGCAATTTAATGCATTGGGGGGGGGGAGGACTCAACAATATTTATAATTCAACATGCAGACATATTCATTTGGTTTTATCTAATCAAGGAAGAAATGTAATCAACATTGATATAATGTTTAATGACAATAATTTTTCACCCGAATAAACTGTGAAGTTAGTTCAAATTGTTTGGCATTATACAAGTATTTACAGCTATAATCTTTCCCAGGAAGTATTTTATTCTGTTGGGAGGAGATATTGATATGTAAAGGGACTCACAGTCTTGTACTGCATCCTGATGTTTGCAACCAGCTGCATCTTATCCCTGTAGTCCTGGACCGACTTGTTGAAGCCGACCCAGAAGTTCTTGACCTCGTTCAGTTCTCTCTCGATCAGGGTCGAGGCAGGAGGTGCCTGGTCCAGCACGACGTTGGCCCTGCTCACGTAGCTGGCGTACTCCTTCTCCAGGTCCTTGATGTGGACCTGCCAGTCCTGGAACTTCTCGATGGTGAGCGTCTCTGAGACTCTGGGCTGCTGCAGGTCCTGGAGCTGACGATCGGCAAGTTTCAGATTGCTCACCAGCTATGATGAAAGGACAGAATCAAAGAGAAATATTATCATCTTTCAATAAGCATGACTAGATTTAGAATGAACATGGACAATGTACAGCACATCTTTTTACCATACAGAGCCACCAACTTTACAAACAGAAATTATACCACACAAATTTAGAGACAACTTTTCAAAATTAGAGACAAATTTTCAATCATAGCGCCTCTTTTCATCATTCACATTGATGTCTAACTTTAAGATTCACAGATGCATTTTAATTCCAAGAAGATATTTACACTTTGACAAAAAGAACATGTGACTGGAATTTCAACAGATGTAATTTTGGACCATAATGACCATACGATGACCGTATACATGAATACTTACAGTTGTGTATTGCTTGCGTAGATTGACCACTAGTTCCATCTTCTTCCTGTAATCGTCAACATTCTTCGTGAAGCTACTCCAGTATGTGTGAACCTCCTGGATGTCTTTCTGAATACTAGGTTTGTCTGCTGGTTTGCCCTTCAGGGCGATGTGAGCGGTGCTCAGGTAGTGCTGATATTGGTCCTCCAAAACCTACATACACAAAATGATATGATATGAAATGGTAAAGTTCATATCATCATGGATGTACAGGTAATAAAACACAATACTCTGAAAAAGATGTTAGTATCCATCCACCTGTACAAGGTTGATTTTTTTCATAATGATTGTAGCTCACGTCAATGTATTGCTAAATAAAAACAGCATTTATGCTCACATATATGGAGAACAAAACGCAGAGACTCACAAGTAAAGGATGTGAATGCCCTCGTCCCTCCTCCCTTAACCCCTTTTTATGATTAAACAAGCTATAACAAATCAAAATACAGCTACCATTTTCCTATAAGGATCTGCTTAACTCTAAACCTTTATCCTCTCAATCAGTGAAAACCTTCACAGAATGCATACCTTGATCTGAGCCTCCCAATCCTGGAACTTCTCGATGGTGAGAGAGACCGATTCTCTGCTCTTCTTCATTCCATCCAGTTCATCCTCCGCACGCTGAAGATGAATGATGAACTGTTTGATGCAAATAATAGCAACACAAATTAATGAATATACAGTTAGCACAGTGTTGTACATAGATTATTTTTCCTGTAGATGTTCTTAACCTCCTGAATAAGCAAAGTGGCTTCTGCCCTTCTTTCTTTTGATTTTCCTTTTCTTCCTTTGTGAAAAAGTCTTGCAAAAGTCTTTTAGATACTATGTAAAATACACATAACAATGTATACCATAAACAAGTATAGCTAGCATACCACCGCTCTACAATGTTTGGGCCAATTATAAACAAAAGTTAGTCACTTTTCATAGATCAGCTTAGTAAATATATATATATATATATATGTAGGCTGGTAATAAAGTAATTTCTAGCAGAATAGATGTGACTTTAGTAATTTCTTGAAGTGGCTAACAATGGCTAACAATAGCAAACATCCGTCTCAGCCCAGACAAGCTAGTACCTCTGACTTGAGAAGCTTGAGGCTTGTGTCTTCACCAGCCTTGGTGAGACGTTGCCTGTATCGGCTCCACTCATTCAGCCAGTGCTCCTTCCTCTCCTCCATAGCATGGATGGTTTCTTCAATATCCCTCCTGGCTGGAGAGACAGGATCCTACAAAACAAAAGAGAAACATAATGGAAACATGAAAGCTAGAGTTTATCTAAAGGTATTGTTTAACTAGAAATATCGCAATCTGTATTGCCGCGCAATGCGAATGTATCCCCCTGCAGAGCGCACACTAGACAACCACCAAAATATGAACTTTTTACCCTATAGAAGACTGAACACTGAGGGCAGCATCACCAAAAGTTGTAGGTGTATAGATTACACCAAGATACACCTTTGTTATCAATTGAAACAAAATCCCTTAGTACTGACCGATTGTCTAATCTTTGCAATGACTTCATCTCCTTTCCTGGCAGCAGTAGTGTACAGTTCTGTGATATAACGTTTCTCTTCCTCATGCTGCTGAAGTCTGATCTGAGCTTCTGAAGTGTGTGTTGGTAATGGGACATCATGGTAAGAAGCAATCGCCTCATCCATAGTCTTGTTGACCTGGAACAAATAATGAAGTCAGTAAAATTTGTTATAAACAAGTTACAATAACGGGTATATCCTTCTGAAATCACTGCATCTGGTTGCCTGCGAGCTCTTTTGCTAGAAAACTATGGATGTAAAACACATGCTCCACTGCACTAACAAAATACTTTATTTGAAAATAATATCTAACCCTATACCAAACCTTATATCGAACCCTATACCAAACCTTATACCGAACCTTATACCACCCCCTATACTGAACCCTATACCAAACCCTTTACCTAACCTTAACCCTTTTGCAACCCCAACCCCCTTCGTATATCTCAGAATATCACAAATAAAATAAAGCCAGGAGCAATCGTCACCAGAGAATATGTCAGAGCAACTGAATTGTGGCAGTAGTTTGAAAGTGGGTTTCATGAATGGGGGCCCTGGTGAATGCTTTACCTTGTTGACTTTCTGGTAGAAGTCGATGCTCAACGTCAACACAATCTGGTATTCTCCAACTCTGTTCATGAAGCGATGATGAGCAGATGTGAGTCTCTCAACGATCTGTTCTTTCTCTCCTCCTGTATCTCCCTTGGCAGCGAGCATCTCCGCAGTCTTCAATCGCATCTGGATCTCAGTGGTTACTCTCTGTAAAATAAAATGATTTATAAAATTGATTTGAGGGACGGCTTCAGGTGCATTTGCATGGAACTTTTAGCTGTGTATTCTTAGATTTACTATTCAATTGGTTTAAAGGGTATGTACATTACATATTTATCTGCACCACAAATTTATGTGTATACAACTTTTCTAAACTTCGATTTTGTATGGTTTGCAGTAGAAGAGATTGAAATATTTCAATCTTCATCTCATCTAATAGTTTGGGGCAATTTTCTGCATTTCAGTTGTTACATAGTACACATATTTCTCTTAATATCCTGCTCTTCCCTTACCCTCCCAATCTATTTCTCTCTTTCTCGCTCTCTCTCTCTTTCTCTCTCTTTCTTTCTCTCTCACTCTCTTTCGCTCTCTCTTTCTGTATCTCACTCTTTACTCATGACTCTCTCTCTCTCTCTCTCTCACCCTTTACTTATGACTCTCTCTATATCTACACATCTGTACATTTCTCACTGTAAACCTCTCACTCCTTCTTCTCCTCTTTACCAGCAGGTGCTTTTATAATAAAAGCAGACATGTGCCCATGGTAAGTAGAGTACTCTTATTGGTAAAACACTCACCGTGACAGTCTCTTGGAAGGAGTCAATCTTCTTCTGTTTGACATCAGCCAAGGATTGAGCATCAGCAGTCAGTCTGGGGAACACATTACCCTCCATGTTGATCACAAACTCAATTGTCTGTGGAAGAGTATAACAATAATAATGATAATATTCGGTTCTTGTATAGCGCATATCACATTTTATATATATATATATATATATATATATATATATATATATAACTAAATACTACCGGTATGTGCGTCCAAAGACCTTTGGAAAGTATTTGCCTGGCTTTAGCTCCGGCAGCCATCATCAGCGCATAGTGCATTTCAAGGAATTATCCTACCAGGTACCGATTTGCCTCACCAGGGTAAAGTGTGGCAACTACAGATCAATGCCTTGCCAAAGGACATTAGTGCAGCGGCGGGACTTGAACCGCGGACCTTGTGATCAACAGTCCGATGACATATCCACTCGAACACGTCACCTCTACAAATATCAGCAAACTGTATCACAAATGTCTCTAAAATACAATCACTGGTTCAGGCTAATAAGTTCAAGAACTTTTTTTATCTGAAACCTCCCCTTCCAGTGTCAAGAGAGATTGCGCAAGTCCTTCAAGACAAAGCTATATTTCTCGAAGGAGTTACACTTCTAAGTTTCTTTTTAACAAAATAGAATATGGACACTTAAATGAACACAAGATAAGTATACTGAATGATTTTTTTTTCCTTGCAAAAAGAAAAAGAAAATCAACAACTTTTTCAAGAAATATCTATTGCAAAAAATGGCTAGTATCATCATCGTCTTCCTCCAATGTGCATTTACCTTTCTTGCATCTCTGACGAAGTGTTCCCACTGGGATTTGAACGTCTCCTCTGCAGAGTATTTCTGATGGAGAGAATCGTAGAGGTCATCTAGGTAGATCTTACGCTCTCCAAAGGACCTAATGGTCAGCTCCACATAGTGGATGGATGACTTGGTGACCAGTTCTGTATCATTGACAAGCTAAAATGGAAGAGAAGAGGATAGAAAATTAAATGCTACGGAAATGCAAATGTGCATACTATTAATCACTTATTGAACTCCTGTCGTAATGAAAAGACATGTAATTAAGACCTATATGTAGATGAAAGTATGAAAAAAAAATCCTTTTTAAGGATATACTCTAACTAATTATGAATTTTAAAAAAAATTATAAAACAAAAATCCTGATTAACAGATTGGTACATTAGTTAAATTATTGTGGGTTTAGTTCTGTAACCTTCTGAATTCACTGGTTATTTTAAAATAGACAATTAAATGAAAGCATTAATGTCATGGTGACAAGCGCTGTTTCACTGAGAAGCTACATGGGAGATAAAAAAAAAGATGAAAAATGATTTGAGGGGAAAAAAAAGCTAAAAGTCAATACTGATATTTTTTAACTCAGAAAAATTATCCCTGTCACAATGGAGAGACATATATCATAAATTCACATAAGAAAAATATCACAATTACTACATATTCTATATATCAATCTACAATAAAGATATAGATATGTTGAAATTCTGTAATGATATATTAATAAATCCCTGTCACAATGGACAGACATATATCATAAATACACATAAGAAAAATATCACAGTTACTACATATTCTATATATCAATCTACAATAAAGATATAGATATGTTGAAATTCTGTAATGATATTTGTCATGCAAAGAGTAAATAAGCGGTTAAGACAGTTATAAAACGGATGCAGGATGAAATAGATATCTCTGTCATGCTATACGTACAGGATTGTCCAAGTTATGTATCATCCATTACTGATGTCTGTTTTTATATTTTCAGCTTGTAAAGTGTAATGCAGTCTTTGGCAATCTATCATTGTAACAAATCTGAATTTACACTAAATACAATGTATATACTATTCAGCACATTAATTTAGTTCTGTTTCATTCAAAAGAAGGTAATGTGTCATCAACTAACCTTGTGGATTTCATTCTTGAAAGTATGGCCAGTGTTGTCAAGCTGGATGTTGATCTCTACCATCTGGTTCCATTTCTCATGGATGTGTTGCATCGTAGTCTTCTTCATTCGCTTCACATCCCTCGTCTCCTCAGACCTCAACATCGTCTCCATGTTTTCCATGGCGTTGCCAAGCTAGTAGGGAACACAGATCATACGAAACGATATCAATAACGTTCTGTTTTTATATGTGTTTATCATGTTACACATCTCTTTACATTTCATATGTTTTGGGGAATTTATTACTAAACTATGGTCCTGCATGAGATAAATAGCTTCCCCCCCCCCCTTTCATTTCTACAAACTTGTTTGTTTTTTCTTTATCATATACTCTAAAGATTGGACATATATAGTCATCACTATATTGGTAATTAAACAAAAGAAATAAACCCATGTTACAAAATAATAGTTAAAGCAATTTAACTTACATTACACCAAAAGAGCAATGAGAATAACCATTATTTTATATGACAATATTTTACATATTTCGTTTAATATATATTTTGGAGATCTTGTAGCTGTACACAAGGTAGAAGTGTTGTCAAAAAAGCAGGAGAAAAAAGGATGAAACTGCAGTAAGAAAAGTGCATGAAACCCAAAAGACATTACATGGGAGCAACCCAATTTCATACCTGCTTGGCAACTTTGTGAAATTTGATCAAGATGTGAGCTGCTCTGACTCTGTTCTCTACAGTGACAGTCACCCTGGTCCAGTGCTGCTTCAGTTTGTTGGTTTGCTCTGGAGTGAACCGGTTCTTGGAACCCAACTTGGTGGCAATCCCAATCACAGTGTCCACCTGAGTTGACTTCTCCTACAATGTAATATTAAAGGAAACATTGTAAAAATCTCATTTAGTTTGTAACAATAGATTTAGTTTTAGTTTAAATAATGCTTAATAAATATATCCTCAACTTACTCTCTGGTTGGAAAAATATCAAGACATTAAAGGAATGAACGTAAGCTCAGCAAACTCATTAACAAAATCATTTTAAGGCAAAAAGTGTCATTGTTATCCATTCATGTCACACTGTTCATTTTTTAACATCACTTCACTCCTCTTATCAGGGGGAATACAATGTTCAACTGTATGGCAATATCAAAATGCAACCTTAAAAACACCTACAAGACACAGGATCACTTTAATTTGACATACAGCTTGACATATTTCAAACTTTCACAAAGCTGCATTAAACTAAAATTTTTAAAAAATCGTCAATATTATTTATTATTCAGTCCCACATACCCTGACTTCTGTGAGTAGTTTATCATGTCCATCCAGGAAGTCCATGGTGGTTTGCATCTGGTCTCCCATGTCATTGTTGGCCATCAAGAAGGCGTCTCCAACATTGACCAGCCACTTGATCAAGACGGTGTACTTCTCTTCAAAGGTCGCCTGCATCTCTGCCTGCTCTCTCAGCTCTGGGCGGGCGTGATTTTGCAGGTCAACACACTTTGCCTATAAAGGGGTGATCAACAATGAACATTTTTAAGATGACTGTTGTGCTGTTCACAAACAGATAAGGGTAGTTACAGCAGAAAAATCCATGAGTTCATGATATGATTAACAATACCAAACCAGTCTTCCTTATCGAAAATTCATTTTTCTTTCAGATATTTTACTGGCTTAAAAGAATACGGTAGTACCACAGATACCTACTATCATAACAAATTCATCTAGCATTACCAAGTTTTAGTTATTTGATGATTTGACAGCATCATATTTCAAAATATATTTGGTAATTTTATTTTTCAAAACAAATTGATTTTTATTGGTGATGCAGTATCTAAAAAATAAAATGCAACATTTATTTTTCTTCTTGTTTGCAAGGGTGTGACATAAATCTTGCAAGTAAATGAACAATTACCTGAATTTCAGCCATGTTCTCCTTGACCGCTTCAGCTCCTGGTGTGCTCAGACCAACCTGATTGAGAAGGGAGCGGCCCTCAGCGAGGACTGGAGTCGAGATCTCTGAGATGGCATTGTTGAGTTTCTCAAGTCGGTTTGACCTGGACCATTCATCCTTGGGGAGTCTCTCCTGAGACAACTGCACTCCAAGTCGACTCAGGTATGTCTTAGCCTTCGAGAAGAAGAAAACAAGAAGTATAACTATATATTTTAGGTTTAACTTCCATTGTTTTCAAACTTACAGACATATCCATAGATCCCCATATTATCTACATAAGGCACTTGAAAAATATGTTAATAATTGAAAGATACTTTATTGTCAAGACTTGTGTGGTGGAAAATCCTTTCAGTGAATATTACACTGTGTAGACCATGACTTCTGAGTTACACTTAAAAATATGAAATGTCAAATGGAAATAACAGATAAGGATAGGGTAAGGGTTATTCTTAAATATGCAATCAGCACACACAACATATCTCAGTCCTTTGCTGAAATCTTTAATTTTCACATCTAGCAACCTCAAAAATATGTCAAATAATTAAAGAGATTAAAGATTTGTTTAATACTAGAAAACAGTCAATACAAATAACATACCAGTTCTGCATTGCGGTAGAAGTCATGGGCACGTTGCAGGGTGTTCCGTCTCTCACCCAACCGACTCATGAAGTCTTCACACAGGGTGTCTATAGCTCTGGTCTGGCTACGAAGTCTCTCTGTGCTCTCCGGAGAAGAATGGCGTACCTGCTCTGATGTAGCCAGAAGGTTTGCCACACTGTTTTGAACATCCTACAGAAAGATAGGGATTATAAATGTATTTCAATGAGCTTCTGGTACTGATATATCAAAATTTATCAATATCTTGCTGCCTCCGTCTTCAAACTTAATTTAGATAACTAGATATTATCAAGTTTTTCAAAGTCAGAAATAAGATAGAGAGACTTGTACGGCCGATCATGTTATCCTGTATCAATGCGCTTAATTGATTGACTAAATTTGAAGAACAATATGTGATTGGTGATATTGAAAATATTACTGTTTCTAACTATCTCTGAATCACATTATTGTATAAGTGGTACATGGATCAAAGTCATAATCACAAGACTCACTAACTTCCTCCTCTGTCCATATCTAAAATATCAAGAATTTTAACTTGAATATCCCTAAATAAACATGATTACCTTCTTAATATACACAAAGAATGTGACAAAATTAAAAATTATCTGGACATTTTGTCATCAAGAAATCATTTCTTAAACAAGAATTTTTTTAGCAAGCTATCTTACCGCAGCAGCCACTTCAAATCCTTGATGTTGCTTGAGCAGATCCGAACACTCGTTCTCACTCCGACCAATGTTTCTCTTCTGCAGGTACATCTCACCTTGAGTCCTGAACCAGTTAGATATCTGGAGGATAATTATATGGGAAGAGAACAGATGTGAATATATAGTGAAAGTAGCATTCTATCTACATGTAAATTCATCAAAAATATAGTTGCAAGATGGATATGCTTCCCATTGTCACACGATTAACATGTGACAATATATGTCTTTTTGGAAAAATGGGTAACACCAATCAAGGATAGATCTTGTCTTTGTTGTATGAGCTTGATTTTCAATCTACTTTGAAGACTGTGTCTAATCCTAAGTGCCTTCAACGATTAGAAAACTTGCAATCTTCTGATTTCTGTATGGATAGCATCTTCAGAAAACATGATTCAAACTTTGCTGACATCCCATAAATTTGTGTGTTAGAAAACGAACATGCCAGTGATGCCAGTGAAAAAATTGCCATGGTAACTGAGATAGAATTTACAGACACAGTATGCTTTGACATTTTCTTTATTCACATATTTCATGGAATCACAGATCATGCTATGGCGACACCTGCTCCACATCAATTCAAAACCCTAACCCTGATCCTGAACCTATTCAGGCACAACCCAAGCCCTACATCTTTGATGAAATGAGGTCCAGATCAAATTTTGCTGAAGCAAATTCCGGCTCATCAACCGATAAATTAATTACTAATCGCACCTTGGTGACCTCAGTGTCAATGTCACGCAGATGTTGGAACTGATCAAGTTTTCGTAACCTCTGCAGTCAAAGGTCAACAAGCTTCAATAATTTTTTCAATTATCCTACTTTTAGATGTTACAATTTGCAGTTACAGTGTACTCAGCAATTTTTAATGGAAGATGTTTTATATTTCATGGTATCTTACATCATGTGACTACTTATCTCACCTTGGTGACCTCAGTGTCAATGTCACGGAGATGCTGGAACTGATCCAGCTTTCGTGACCTCTCCAGCCAGAGGTCATCCAGAAGACGTCGCTTGTCTTGGATGTCTTCCATAGCTTTCTCCACACCCTGGCAGGATACCATGGTGGCACGGCGCGAGTCGTCGCCGGCTTTGCTGCCGAGGTCACGCAGGTTGTCTAACAGGTCACGACCTTGAGACATGACCTGCATAGAGCCTTCGAGCATATCTGCAAAATAAAAAATTTGAGGAGAGTTTAGTTAATGCAGGATAATAAATGCTCAGCAAACTAAATCCAATTTACTACTCATGTAATTCTCTCACTGAACTGTACAGCACTGTATAAATCCTGTAAAACATGAAACTTTGTATGAATGAAAAATTCACAAAATTCAGTGCTTCAGATTTGAGAAAGTTCTTGCCACATAATCATTGAATTACACAACTCAATTTGTCACGCTGTATAGATGGTTCTAGTATACGTGTAGCAGTGATATATACATCTGTCTATACAACACCCTACACCAAGCTATGTATATCAATTAAGCAAATTGATGTGAAATCTATTATTCTTTCCATGGATTACATACAAATTCTAATAATATTGTGTGGTTTGTATTAACCGAGTTGCATACCTTTCTTGATTTGCCTGCTTCTCTGTAACTGACTCTCTACCCCTCTTGGATCTGAAGGGAGAGTCATGGTCCGGCATTCTCTGATTCCATCAGCTAGATTGTCATTGAACTGGCAAAATGAATGAGATAAAATAAAGAATACAAACAAAGTGCAAACGATAAAAAATTACATCATAAATTTTCAAATCAAATAGCTCCAGAATAGGTCAAATATATTAAGGTGGTACAATCTTGTATGCATTTAGCACAATCTAATGATATCCATTCAATATGGAAGTCTAAAAGAAACTGCATTTATTTCGCTATCACACTGTGTCATGTTCTAGGGATACATCACTGGACTGTGGATCACATTGTTCGCGGTTCAAGTTCCACCACGGCACTTATGTCCTTAGGTAAGACATTAATCTACATGTTCCACACTCAACCCAGGTGAGGTAAATGGATACCTAGCAGGAATTAATTCCTTGAAATACTAGAGCACCGTAATGGTAGCCATCATAAAAGCCGGGTAATAATTGCGGAGCACCAGGAGTTTTCAAGTCTGACAGTCATGAGCGCAACCAAGAACCCATTATTATTATTATTTTTGGACAGGAATGTTCCCTAACAAACTGATATCAATCATGTTCACCCACTGAAGCTGAAGACTACAGAAATGTTCACTTTTTACTACTGAAATCCATGAAATATCACCAAAACCAGTTTTAAAATTTCAGTAATTCAATAATAAAGATTAGACAGTCCTCTGTCCTCAAATAAAAATGACCAGAGCTGGTCGAAAAAAGAAGTCTGTAGTCTGGACCTACCTGTTTGGCACCCTGGTAGAATTCCACAGCCTGGTCCAATAGCTTCTGTCTGACTTGCATCTGTTTGGTAAGGTCCTGCCAGGCTTGTCCCAGGCTCTTGGCCATAGCTGCATAGACGTCTCCATAGAACTGCTGTGTGGAGACTTGGTTGTCAGCCTGGCTCAGGAGACTACCGATCTGGTCTTGCTTGGCCTGCACAACAAACAAAAACGTACACATATAATTAAATAAGTCAATCTTTATACCAGTAATGTAAATCTTTCATTCTTGTAGAGGATATTTAAAAAGATTGATATCAATTCAAGAGGTGGAAATGTTTTATGTGTGGGGAATTCGCCCATGAATGAATATTGTGAATGCACCCTTACCAACAAACTCATTTTTATAAGAATTTATGTTTGGCAAATGTACTTTCAAGTACTTTCTTGTCAATTCTTTATTGTACTTAATGCATTACCTTCATGCACTAAGCCTATATGCCTACAAAAAAAGATTCTCCCAAATCATCATTTTATCTCTATGGTACAGATCGAAGCGTTCACTTTCCATAATTACAAGTCATACATTTTTTACTTTTTTAATATCTGCTCAGCTTCATTATTATGTCATTATCAAAACTTTTATCAACATTTTGTTACTTTAAATTTAAAAACCACTCAATACAGCTATCCTTTTTTCCACACAGAAATATTTATTCCTGAAGGCAATTTTGAGTGGGACTATTTCATTCTGATCACTTAATCAATTTGTTGACTAATTTCATTTATTGTTCCTGTTTATTTGGTCAAATTTCCTATGCTTTTTCATTGCTCTTTTGATAACAATCTCAAAAAATGTAGTCTGCCATTTTAATATTTACACATATATGCTTCAACTTTTAATGCCAAAACATATTGCATATATCCTGCATAATGTATGAGGCCCAGTAGATATATTTTCCCATCCCACACACATAAATATCCTGAGTTTCTGCCTGGTTAGTTGTCTGTGATGGATCACAAACCCAGGCTAATATTCACCCTGACACATTCCAGAAAGTTTTGGTCTGAAACCCTGGAACATGGAATGTCCTATTACCAATGAGGTCACTTTTCAATTTAGACTCCCAATCCAGGCTTTAGAAGCTAGGCTCATGAAATGTCATCATCATCATTTTTCAATTCAATTACCATCCATCTTTTCATCTATAAAAAGATTGGACATGAGTCTATATCATGTGTAACTGCACTCTTCTTTAGTTTGACAGCACTTCCAAGTATTACAATTACAAAGAATAAAGGCTTGCGGCAGATCTAACAACGTTCAAAGGTATATTACTCTGATCATTTTTTCATACAGGGTATATCAAACTTTCACTGGTCTGCTTCTCTCACGTTATGCCTATCTTTAAGCAAAGCTGATGCTATTGTGGGACTTTATCTTTAAATCAGAAGAAAACAAATTACAGAATAAAATGTAATTATTTCACCAATAATCATCAAACCAGCATACAATCAATTATAAATCTTCACATTGTAAAAACGTTTGTGGATACAGATATGGATCTAATTCTTACAATATTTAGATATTCATAAACAAATCTATTCCCTAGTTACAGTTCTAACCTGTACTAGTGTAAAGGCTTTTCCATTATCTTTTTACAAACATGACAAAAAGGCTATCACTGGAGTCTCTTTGCAGAACTGCTCCATTTAAGTACACATATATTGCCAACAAGTTAGCATTATTGACAATGATATAATTTCACATGAATTTTTTTTTACTTATAATTTTTCTTTAAATCAATTTGTGGATCGAGGGTATGATCACAAAAAATAAAATATATGCAAAATATTATTAATTTAACAATTTCATCTTTGAAGTTATCATAGAGAATGCATCTTGTCTTTATATATTGTGACCTCCATGTCATCTCAATGCCATTCTGCCTCCCAGAATACCATGCACACACATAGCACGGATTCCTGCCCCATCACTTAATGCATGACATGGGCCAGTTGTTATCTTTAGTTTACACTCGTGTTAAAGGAGATGGTCTTGATTGGTTACAAAATACATGTATGCTTATAAAAGTATGGCTAGTATCATTGTGTTGGAAAGTTTACCCACATCAATTGTATTTATCTTCATCTCTTTACAAAATGTGTCAGATGCATTTTTGTTTGTTTAGTTTTGCACTCTTTTAATTATTGTATACAAAGAACATAATGTAAAAGAGCGTTAGGAAATTCATCTTTATCCTGTTTACAGATGTTTTAATAAATAGATGAATAAATATTTCTGTATTACCTTTTCTTTTGAAATAGGAAGAAAACTCTTTTATTCTAATGAGCAAACTATCTTTGATTATTTCGTGATTACAATGTCTATTACAGACAAATGTAAGGGGAGGGGGGTGGGGGGAATCACTGCGGAGATCAGCATATAAATTAGCAATGTGTTTTTACTCAAATTAAATATTTGATTCAAAGACATGAGCCTATGTATTGGCCTTCAGAAGCCTTTCATATCACAATGTGCATTTACCCAATCAATGTGTAGTGCATTTCCTTGTCTCACAATAAAACATTTTGCCAAGCAAACCTGTCAATGAAATAAGCTTATACTTATAGGGGAATCCCGATTTTATTCATTTTGACAACTGTCCCCCCTCCCTCTTCAGATTACAAACAAAAAGATGACCTGCTCTAGCTGTCACCTGAGATGCAATGACATCTGACCTCTTAATCTAAATTGATTTTAAAGAGAAAATTTCTCTTTTTACTTCAATTTGCACTGTATTCTGGCTGTATTGAAACTGTACAAAAGCAAGTCCATAATATTTGGTCATGCTGTATCCCATACAGATCCGGGTATAATGATATTGAGAACATCAATTGATATCAAATGTCTTTTTACTTTATATTTGCTCTGATCAAAGCTCTGTGATGGCTCAATACAATTATCAGATCTACTTAAACTGTAGATATGGTTGGGAACGTGATGGACATATTTATAAATTCTAAATTTAAAATATCAAAATTTAGAATGACAATATAATATAAATGCTTCTATCAAAGTCATATAATGTAATTTTAAATCCTCATCAAACATTAGAAAGGCTAGTAAAAACTTCAAATTTGTCCTTTTGGTAGTTAACATGCAGGTCTGATTCTCTACTTTAAATGTTCAACAGGCAAAATTGGCTAAATAGGCTGACAAAACTCAATGAACTTAGCAGACCAAGATAGCAGATGCCAAAATTGACTTTGGCCTAATGTTAAACTGTTCAACAGTCTCCATTTAAAATGGAGGCTGTTTAGAGTAACACATGCGATCATACCTTTTCAAGGTCTGTGCACTCAGTAAAATATATACTTTAAAGATATGTTCTCACAAGCATGGAACATCTTAGATATATCTAATGTTTGGCATGTAAAATTGCATCTAAACCAATGAAACGTGTTGGTTGCTTATTAAAGACACCAAGTATTTGTTCATCAGGCTAAATTTTAATCCTAAGTAAAGTTTTGTAATATTCAACATTTTTGTCACAGTAACCTACTTCTCCATAACAAATCCATGTCTACTGACTACATGACTTTGAAAATTTATATAAAATTAAACCATATTGATTAATCATGATCAATAATTAAACAATGGTTATACTATGAAATGATGTCACGACTATGAAAAGTACCCCCAAAAAAGTTACCAAAATAATGTACATTTAGGCCAATAGGTGGCAAAACAGTAGAGAGCAAACTTTCCAACATTCCTTGTATATTTGTAAAGTAACAATTGTAATGGCTTCTTATCCAAACTGACACATGTAAGTAGATATTCTTGTGCCCTACAGGGATATTTGAATGGGATACAAATCGCTACATAGTGGAAGAAAATTGACATGGGTGACCTGTAGAACAAGAATTTTAAAATATTTCTGAAAAACTTGCTACATGTATCTGTGACAAGACAAAATGTTAACTTCATAAGATAGTGTTCTTTTTAACAGTAGTAACAGTTCATGTTTATATGGAAGTTAGTTCGTATTTGAATGTTTACTTTGTTGCACTATTCTGAATTCACAATAACAATAACAAAACAAAAAATGAAAGTTTGCTAAAAATATAGCCTCCATATATACCAAATGGTTCGACTTGAAAAAAAGTGCTAACGAACCATCACATGTCTTTACTTATTTTCTCATTGTATTCTGCTGGTATATTGTTCCAAGTTTGATTTTGCATTATCGTCTGTTGCTTAAGTAACTTAACACACATACATGGAATAATTATGAAGAGGATCTGTCATTTGAGTAGGGGATCTTATACAACTTACCACAAGATTTTTAATGACTTCCTCGTGTTGTGTCTTGAGATTCTGGGCCTCCTCCAGGTTTGTCCCGATCTCTGTCATCCTTGGTACCATGTCTTCTACTCTTACTTGGATCCATTCTGCTGACTATATGACGAGAAGAATAAAGAAGATGGATGCAATAAGGTTAATTCTAGTGTAAATTTAAGTATTTTGCTACATCATTTTATGTGTCAAGACCATTATTCCAAAACTTACAAACTAATATTAGACACCATTACTATTTGTTTAATTGATATCATGACAAAGAGTATGACAAAGGGTATTCAAATTACCTTCACGTTATAAGGAATTATGAATATTATTACATAAATATTATGTATATAGGGTAATTGATACATTTCATATGAAAATAGGTAGAGGTGTCGTGGACGAGTGGATATGTCACCGGACTGTGGATCACAAGGTTCGCGGTTCAAGTCCCACCGCGGCACTAATGTCCTTTGGCAAGACATTGATCTTCATTTGCCACTCTCCACCCAGGTGTTAAATGGGTACCCGGTAGGATGCGAAAGCTAATGTGGTTAGATTAGCACGTGTGCGCTTGTAAAAAAAGACGCCTGGCTGGAATGCTCCCCAGGGAGTGGAGAATGTGCATGCATTGTGTGCGGGTAAGCCTGAATCCTGTGACCGGGGTAATAATATATATATCTTTAAAGCGCTTTGAGAGGGCCTTCGGTCCTGAAAAGCGCTATATAAAAACTAGCTATTATTATTATTATTATTAACAATTATCATCATTATCAACATCATCATTTCGTCATCATAACCATCACCATGGCTATCATCCTCATCAATATCATCAATTTGATTTATATCAACATACACACATCATCAATGAACACTGAAGAAATAACATCACATTTTTATACCTATCATACAGGTCCAATTATTGATTTCATATTCAATGAAACTGTACCATGATAAACACATTCAAACACATTCTTTGTTATAAATCCCATTCCCATGAAGTCAAACATGGCATTACATTGGCATGTACTGTCAGTTTTCAAGGGGGAAAATGAAAAAAATCTGAAAAAATTACTTTCACTGGATGTTTTATGAGAGCTTGTTAATAATTATTGGAAAGTACAAACACTTTTGTGTGAGAATTTGTTTGAAAACCTATGACTCATTTAAACTCTCACATGTCATCAAACCGATCCTGTGTACCCAAGGGATAAATAACTTGTGCCTTAAAAAAAGTGCCTTGGGTCCTACAATCTTTTGTACTGACATGTTTTTGTACCTCAATGTTTACTATTTGTCACACATAACTTTCAACTCTCGACAATCTGTTGACCTATATTTAGCTCAGGAGGAATTCTTTGGAAAGTCAAGACTGCTGCATGTATCATTTCTTGCTTGACATGCTTGCCAAGATGTCACTATGATGCATACATCTTTCATGTATTAAACATGTAAGCAAGGTTTCTGTTTCGTTATTCAATTCGGTGCTACATCACAACACAAACATTTTAGGCATCCTTTAAAATATATAAAGGTGCCAACAACAAGTGTACCTAAAATACCATCTTTGTCTGGTACTTTTATGTTGGCTCTTTTTTCCAAAAGTTTCTCTTAATGCATTCTCCCTCCCTCCCCCCCCCCCCCCCTCTCCCTCTCTCTCTTTCTCTCTCTCTCTCCATCCCTCTTCCTCCTATGCTTACACTCTCATTCACTCATTCTTTCTCTCACATCCTCTTTCAGTGCGGTATGCTCCTTGACCCTTAAAATAACTATGATATCATCATCCGCTCTTATACTGCAGACTAGTCTATCAAAAACAAACCCGTGCTAAGTTTCATTGCATCTTCATTAGATGTGAAGAAACCAGGTAACAAGGGCACAAAAGCATCATAATCTTAAACACATAATCAAACCTATGTTTCACCATGGTATCATGTTATACAACATTCTTCATTTCATGCATGTGTACCTGTTTGAATATTTAATATACATGTATTTATGTACATCTACCTCTTTTCCCACCTGCAAAATTTGACGCCTTTTGGAACCAAAACAGTTTAGCACATACGGCAGGATTTTCGCTACAAACAAATTGTTGAAGCTTGCAAATTCTAGGTTGTCATTTAATCATTTTCCTTTGTGACACTTTTATGACTTTACATCACTTGCACCATTTGTACTTTTACACTAACTGGAATTTACAATACATATACAAATTACATATAATAATTTCAATCATCATTTCAGCACCGGAGCACTTGTGCCTCTCTATATAAGATTAAATTAGTATACATATCATTTAAGTTTTAATAATTATCCATTTATTATCTGAAAAATGCATAAAACATGATATACAATGTTTACTGCAATGAAAAATATAAAAGCAGGCTCACGTGGACTGTTTGTGAGACTACTTGGAACACTAATGCAGTTAAAGTTGGACTAGTCTGTCTGCTGGAGTAATTAGTGACACTAAGTCCTCTGACATTTTCATCTTCCTACATCTCAGTATGCAACAGAGTCCTCTTTAATGATGGATATGAAAGGAGCAATGGCCACCAGAGATTGAATCATATGGTATTCATTTTATCTCTGACATTACATATGAATGAATGCAAACATGACTGTTCAAATTTCCCAGAATTGTATTTCATGTAAGCATCAGTAGGGTTCATGATTCTCTTGCATGGGGGGGAGGAAGGGGCAATATAATAGAGAGTCTCTAGACAGTCAATATAAATGAAGAGAGAAGGAGGTAACAGTTTCACAATTTTGCAGGCCACTGATTAGTATCAACAACAAAAATCTAAAAAGGGTCTTTGATAAGGAATATGTTAACACTTTTCATGTTTATGTATTTTTTTGTAATTGTTTTAATCTAAAGGGAGAGGGGAATAATCTTCATGTTTTAGTCCCAGCTAAGGACCTCATTGTCTAAATGTCCTTAACCTCCTCACCCATTAAATTATCAATGGCAAGATAATGGTGTAATTAGTATCACCACATGTATATCCCCTAATAATTCATTTCATGTCTCTGCCTTTCAAATAGTGCATTTCTACTTTCTTCCACCCCATTTGCTGAAAGTTTGCTGACTTTTTCTTGGTCGTCCTACTCACTGATTTACAACATGATGTACTAGATTGTAATTATCTGGTGGACACATGCTTTATCTCAACAAGATTGTCATGGGGTAATGGGAAATGAAGATAGCTGCTAACCAACAGGACCATAACGAAACAGAAGGCTGACACCACATGAAAAAGACAGGTGCATAAATCACACTTTAAGTGGGGAGGAAGGCATCTATATCAAACGGTCCAAACCATCTTGCTTTTCTTAAAGAATTATTCTTTGATGATTCCAGGCTATTCAACTGAATGAACAGTGCAAGGAATATTTTCTAGAATAATTAAGCCCCCCATTCAGATAAAAACTACCACAGGATGATGTTCAATTAAATTTAATACTATCAACAACATACACTTAAATCCTTTAAACCAAATGTTGCAAAACGATCATGAGCACTGTTAAATATACACACAAGCAACACTTAGCAGCTTCAAATGACAAACTAGTCCCATACCACCCCAACCCTATGGTAATGCAAATTCCAAAAAAATGATCAAAAGATTTCATATCAATAAAAAGATAATTAATGCACTTTGTTTGCTGACTTTAAAAATGACTTATTTGTTTGCAACTTGCAGACACGAATATAGCTTATTTGTTTTTTCAAAGAAATCACAAAAGGATTTGAAAAGAGATATCAAAGGAAGAGAGAATTCAAAATTGAGGCCTCAAGATTTGATGTTCATGACCTATAAATTAACATGTAGAGAGAAGGATCCTACGCTGGACTCATCTCCGATGAATTCTATCTGTCCTTGTATAAAGCACCGCGTATGTCCCTGCCGGCCGGCCATAGACAACACCAATGATTTCATTAACAGGCCCAGCTGGTGCATTCCTATCTCGTTAGTAACCAGATCAACTGTATAGTCGGCATGCCTCCTCATTGGTTTCAAGTGGTACTGGATTCATCTACGGACTATTCCACTGGGCCATGCCTTCTTCCTTACAATCAACACACTCATTATGTGTCAGTCACCTTTCATACTGCTTGTATGAAGTCAATTATGCATGACAAACACATATCAGAATGTGTCTTGTCAATGGTACTTGGTAATAACAATATTGGCACTGATTTCAACTGATTGCATTTCTACTGTTTTAACTGTTTTTGGAGGGTTCTATATATCTCTTTTAAAGGTAATACAAAGTTTCGGTATGGGGTCTTAAATTTGGTTCGAATGAACATATTGGAAGCATAATGTGATCCAACAATATTCACTGATCGTTGTCGCGGTCGAAATCGACTCTAAAAAATATCATTGTTAATAATAAACACTTTATGTGGTATAGCTCCCTCTCAAGATCAAGATATTAATTACGCTATAAAACAATGTTTCTTGACACAAATTGACCGATTAGCAATTCCCGTTCGGAAATTATATACCACGGCTACATATTCTGAGATTTTCATGGTCGCAGCTACTATTGTACGGCCGTAGGAGCTATTAGAAATTTATCAAAATTTACCGGGAGCACCGGTAAATCTGAATATTCAATTTTTCTCGAAAGCAGAAGTATTTTAGGGGCTAAAATTTCTAATGCTTTTAATACATCCACAGGGGCATCCAAATATATCAAAATTGTAAAGAATCACTATCAACCCATTTTTCAAAATTTCCCAAAACTTTGTAATACCTTTAACTATCAAACTAAGAATTTCCCATAAAGAGAAACCAACAATAATATTTGTTCAACTTTCATAAGAAACTTTAAGTCATTAATGTACTAGATATGTTTTTACTGTTTTGGAGGGTTCTATATCTATCTCTTTTGAATATCAAACTAAGAATTTCCCCTAAATAGTAACCAACAGTAATATTTTCAACTTTCATGAGAATCTTTCGGTCATTAATGTACTAGATATCAAAGGCGGATGAGAACCCATTTCCTTCTCCTGCCATTGCACTTTCTATTCTCAAACTCAAAGAATTCAAGCAAAACCTTGTAAAAATGTGTGAAAAATTTGCAAGAACATTATATCA